GAAATCGAGTTCCATGGTTGGAAATCGAGTTCCATGGTTGAAGAAATCGAGTTCCATGGTTGTAGAAATCGTACCTGGAGAAGAACACGATTTTGGAGAAGACGTACCTGGAGATCTGATCGATTTTGGAGAAGACGTGATCGATTAGGRGGTGTTTAGACAGGGTTAAAATGGTAAATCGGTAATAAGTCAATTTTCATAAGTCACTATGGATTAACTTATCAAAAACAACTTATTACCGGTTTGGTACCGGTATAAGCAGTTTTTTTTTTTTTTTTTACCCAAACACTCCAAAATGGCTTATCTCCGGTGCCAGACTGAAATAAGTCAATAAGTCGTTTTGATAAGCAATCCCAAACACTCCCTTAGAATGTATACACAGACATACATTGGCATCACCATGTTCCAATTTTTTAGATTTGCATTATTATGTTTGTGTATCACTAACCTATACCTTGACTCCATGTTCGTGGAACGTAGGTTAAGCATGTCTTTCAAATTCTAATATCCAAAATTTTGCTTCAACTTCATAGTTGCCTTTAAGAATATGTTTTGACCACTTAACTTGTACTACAAATTTAAATTGATCAAGCGTTGTGGATTTAGGGATGTATTTTATACGTGGTATGTTTTTTAAGGAACTAAATGACAAAAATAGTTTATGTTCTTGGGCTATTTTTTTATCCTATTATAGAACCTTAGAGTTCACCCTGAATATTAAGTTTATTTTGAAATTGGAAGAGGTTTTCATTGGTTATATGAGTGAATGATGTGAAAATAATATGAATTTGCATTTGTTGCAGTGTTTGGATGAAGTGCAATCTTATATACTCGTCGAACGATCTTGTGAACATGACACATATGATCTAGTTGTTCTTGAGCCACTTCATTTGGTTAGTTTTTTCTTCCTTATGTTATCTTTGTACTTGCCAAGTCATTTATGACATGTACATAAAAAGGTTGGAGTTCATGAAGAAATACTGTATGTTATGTTTATAATTGAGTAATTGCTTCACAACTACCGCAGAGCCACATAACTTATCATTGTTTTTCTTTTTTGAATAGAATGTAGTTAGGCAGAGTGAGAATGTGTATGTGACTACTGTATAATATATTGAAGTAAAATCCAAAAAACCAAACTCTATCTAACGTAAAGTTGAAAACAATATTCTAGAAAAATTCGTAGAATTAGAGGAACTTCTTTTTTAGAGGAAATGACCATTTTATATGAGTGAATGTACCCATATGTTTTCATCATTAGAGTACACTATTCATAAAAATATTCAAACTAATGATGGGCTTTGACCAAAACGAAAATAGCTTCAGGTTGTGACTCTAAATTATGGTATAAACTTCTCCACCAGAATGTACGCATATGCTTTGCGTGTAGATGGCTCTTCCTCCTATTTTGTAAATTGTTGAATGTGGCTCAAAAGAGCTACAACAAGTTTGCAGGCATTGGCAAAATTGGGTCATGATATGCTACTTTAGGCATACGTCAACTATGCTCCATTAGGCATGCCTAGGTGCATGTGATAGGCAAGGTTCAAAATGGCGTGGCGTGGCGTGGCGGTTCAAGTCTTAAGCTTTACATGCCACGGTGAGGATGTCGTTTTTAAGACGTGACATAAGGCGGCAAATTTGTATGTCACACACACACACACACACACACACACACACACATATATATATATATATATATATATATATGAAAAATTGAGAAACGCCCGAGTACCAGGTTCATCTGTACAGTATGTACATGTGCATACAAGTAATTTATGAGTAATATTTCCGGTATGCACATTTGAATAACATGTATACAAACATAGAAACCAAAATTACTTGTATGCACATGTGCATACGTACAGATGAATGGTAATTAGGGTTTTCCTCGGTTTTTCATTGTTTTGGGGGTTTTCCCCTGAATCTCACTCTATAATTATATATACATAAATGTTTTCTATTTATTGCTCAATAATATAATGATATTAAAATTTTACATTCATATTAAAAGAAGAAAAAGCATATATATTAACTAGTATTATATAAAAAGTTTGTGTTTAAATATTCAAAATAGAACTTGTGAGTGATGTGAACAACTAAGTTTCTAAAAATATAAAATCTAAACTTAAAAGTTTAAATACACAGAAGTTTAAAAAAATTAAAAAATGAACAAAAGTCATGGTTTATAAAAAAACGAGCGCCATGACGTGCCTCAAGGCACCATGGCGTGAGCCACGCCTTACACAAACGATACAGGCCTTATCGTAACGGTGGAGACACGTCTCATGGTGACAGGTCAGAGGGATGTGCTTTGTTGTTGTTGTTGCTTGACAGGTCTTGATTTGCTGACTTTATTTCTTCTTCCCTCTGTAGTGGTTCCATATAAACATACACTAATACACATAATTGCAAAATCACTTGGAAGACCCGTTTTAGGCTGACACACAACATTGAATTGTAAGTAATGTCTTCTACAAGAAAGAAGACAAACACTGCGAATCTGCATGTAGATGTTGCCGACATAGAAATAAAACGAGTAAGTAGAAATAAACCAAGCATTAGATTAAGGTGTAAACTGAATGATTGTTTGTGAGCATGCTTAAATCTTTCCATTGTTCTTACAACCTTGGATCACTTGGGGGTTGTTTGGTTCAATTTTCATCTAGTCTTGTATAGATAAAGTTGGCTTTATGCTTAAAGTTGTTTGTATGTATTAAACAAAACTGTTATTTGTTTGTTGTGCTGAATAAACTGGCTGAATGCTAAAAATGACTATTTTACCCTTCTATTTGTTTTTTTTTGTTATTATTGATCTCCAATCATTAAAATCCAAACACAAATCCAATAAAAAGAATCTCAAGAACATCAATCCTTGAATCAAATCTAAACATGAAATTTTGATTTTTCAGTCACAAATCCAAATCCAAAATAAATATATCAAGGACATCAAATCCCTAAAATAAAAGCCAAAATTTGATCCTTCAATTAAAAAATAAACGATGAAAAATCAAACACTAGTCCACTGTTTGTGGTAAAGATGAAGAACGAAGCTGGAAAATCAAACCCTAGTCCAAAATTTCAATCCTCAAATAATATAGAATATGAAAAGTTAAACCTAAAAATCAACATTTTTCAATAGAGGTATACAGGTTGTGGTGGAGATTAAGAACGAGAAGCATGGTTGAACTGTGAATGTCTCGATGTACATCTGAATCTTGAACTTTGAGGTTGAACCTTGAAAGTATTGATCTGCACCTGAACCTTGAAACCTTCGATCTTCAACAAGGAGGAGGGACATGATGGCGACAAGAACTTTCTTGGTCCTCTGCCGGTACTTGTGGCTTCCGAGGTACAAGAAGAGGGACGCCATTTGCTGCTCAAACCGCAGCGGGACTAGTGCGACGACAACAACAACATCAAGGAGGGGCAGGGCGGTGATAGGAGGGAGGATGGGGCATGGAGGCTACTGGATGGAGTATAGGGGGTTAGGTTTCGATTGAGAGAGATGGGAGGAGTAGGGAGGGTATTCTCTCTCGTGTATTTCAAAACGATAGGGATGGAAATGTGGTGTCTGCATTTATAAGGGTGCCTTTTAAAAACTTATTGGATAAGCTCCCTTCTAAATGATTAAGACATTTCCAAACATCATAATATGGTTAAGCGAACATGTTGAAGGGTTCATTAAGCTCATATTGTTTCCAAACAGGCCCTTAGCATCCTAATTTCTAGCTGTAAAAAGGTTTAGCTGTGAGTAAAATTATGCTAAGCAAACCGAACTAAGCATACCCAGTATATCCCGCTCAAAGTAGGGTTTGGGGAGGGTATGATGTTCACATACCTTTCTTATACCTGAAGGATATAGAAGCTTTTGTGAAGACTCCCTACTTGTGAAGAAGTGATGGAGAGACGAGGTGGGTAAAAGATTTGTCAAGAAGGTCTGTTTTTGAAAAGCACAAATTTTTATAAGACACCATAAAGCATGGCATAAGAAAACAAATTACTATAAAAAGAGTGTGTTGTGCAAGCAAGCAAACAACAAGCATATCAAACAATAACAACAATTTGACTTTCATATTTGTTGTTTTCTCACATCCTTTTCTTTTTACTGTCAAGAAGGTTATGGTACAATACTACATTGAGCGACAGTGCATTTTGAAGTGTACTCGCCAGATTCTCATGCTATCCTGTAAGTTTGTAATGCCCACTTTTGTAACTCCTTATTTTGTTCTTCATTTTCATTAGCTTGAATACATATAAGCATCATATTGGCAAACTTATTTACTTATGCATCCATTGTATATAATGATACATGGCTGGCATCACGCATTTGGCCAATGCTGTATTGAGTTGATTAGGTACAAAAAATAATTAGTAGGCATTATTTTTTTTGGAAGGCAATAATATCAAGAATAGGGAAGAACCCAAAATAAAACACCGGATAGTTCCACATTTCGCAAGGGGCAGAATGCAAGGAAGAGCAAACAAACCTAGAAACCAGAAAGAGCAATTGATACAAAACAAAAGCATAGGACCAAAACACGAGCTAGACGGACATTAAGACTAGCAATTAGATCTACACAACCAATCCACCCAAGAAGGTTTGTTGCTCTTAATCATGTCCGAGATCCAAAGAAAGGAGGTTGACTGAATTTCAAAAAATATCTCCCGAATGTCGGTCCGAGCATCTCGTTCGAAGACCAGAGAATTTCTCTTTCTCCATAAGATGCAAAGAGTAGACCAAATGATTGATTCCCTCACCGAAGCTAATTGAGGATGCACCCCCATTGCTACCATTGCCCGAAATTAGTTCTTCAATCAATCTTCTAGATCGGATATTCCTGCCACAGATCGAGCATTCCAGAAAACAATGATTAAGAGTTTCAACCTCACTGTTGCATTTAGGAAAAAGTCTAGAGTCTAAGTCAAAACCTCTTTCATAAAGCAATTCCTTTACTGGACCCTTCCCCCCACAACCTCTATATAAAAGTTGACTTTGTTTGGAATTAAAGAACACAAACGGGTAGTTCCAGCCTTATCGTGTGTATCTAGCAGCCTACTTTCCAACATTTCTCTCAATTTTTCACAGTGAAGCTTCCATTTGCATCCATATCCCAAACCCACTTATCAGTTCCATCTGGATTAAGCGAGATTGGTTGCAATAGTCGTGACAGATCTTCAAACTCTCGACTCGCTCTACTCCTAGGGGATCTATTTAAGTCCACGACCAACCTTCTACCTCAGCTGGAACAATTCTATCACGCAACTTCGCCCTTTTCACCCTCTCCAAGGCTCATAAACAAGGAAATCTATCTTTTAATCTACCACCCTCTAACCATCGGTCTGACTAGAAATTGATATCAACCCCATTACCAATACTTCTGCTAAACGAGTCCAAGATAGGTAATCCTAGATCCTCCATTTCTTTTACCGCTTTTATCACCCCTCTCCAAGCACCCCCAAGTGAGCCCCTACTATTCCTACCACTAAATCTGCCATCTCTACCGTAAATGCTTGATATAGTTCTATGCCATAGTGCCCTCTTCCTTTGATTTAAATCTCCACAAACATTTTCCCAGCAAAGCCAAATTAAAAGCACAAATACTCCCCCCTCAATTGAGAATCACAAATAACCTTGTCCAATCGAACCTAAGAAGGATATTTTGATATGTTCCCCCCACCCCAAAAGAATTTCCTTAATCTCTCAATCGTTTACAGACGCATATCTTGGCATGATACAAGGAGAAGAAATACAATGGTAGACTGTTCAACACGGATTTAATTAGCGTGAGTCTTCCACCCAAAAAAATAAGCTTTCGTGTCCAGGCGTCTAACCTCTATTTAATTTTTTGAATAACTTGCTGCCAGGATGTTTCTTGGGCCATCATAGCTCCTATCCGGTGGCCTAAATATGTGAAAGGAAGAGAGCCCGGGTTGCAACTTATAATTGTTGCCTCTTCTTCGATAATCTCTTTCTCAACACCAATTCAATACAACTTCCTTTTCGAGAGATTAACTCTTAGACCCGATGCCGATTGAAAACAAAGAAGAAAAGGTTGTAAGTTCTTTAAATTTCTTCGACTCCAGTTTCCAAAGAATAGAGCATCCTCTGCAAACTGAAGATGAGAAACTTCAATTTTATTTCGACCCAGTTTCACCCGTTCAAAGATCCCCTTACTTTTTGCTTCTTCCATAGCAATGTCATCCCTTCCATCGCGATAAGAAAAGAAAAGGAGATGGGGGATCTTCTTGTCTTACACCTCGTTCAAGGTTGAACTCGCCCGTAGGGGAGCCGTTGACCAAAATAGAAACAGAGGTAGATGCGAGACAAGAATTAATCCATTTGCACCAATGATTCTCAAACCCTATTTGGAGCATCAAGTCTTCCAAAAACTTACGGTTGACACGATCGAATGCCTTCTCGAAATCAGCTTTAAAAAGAAAAGCTTTATAACCAACCTTTTTCATGGAGTTAACTGCTATGTCGGCCACGAGAATGCTGTCCGTGATACTTCTTCCTTTGATAAAAGTCGTTTGAGTGTCACTAATTACCTCTCCTAGCCAGGTTTTTGTGATAATTTTGTAGAGGGCCCTAATTAGGCTAATTGGACGAAACTCGTGAAATACATCGGGTTACTAACCTTGGGTATCAACGTCAAGAAAGATGAATTGCAACCTTTGTTTATTCACCCTTTATCCCAGAACCAATGGAAGACATTCATCATATCAACCTTGATCGTATCCCAAAACACCTTAAAGAACTTGAAACTAAAGTCGTCTGGACCCGGAGCTTTAGAACCTCCAAAACTGGGGCGTCGAGTGCTCCAACTAGTTTTCTAGACAACCTTCTGAATTTTGAACTGACAAACCTAGGTCTGAGCTTATCCTCCATGTCCTCCTTGAATTTGCTGTTCAAATACTTGAAGGTTGCATCTTTTATTTTTTCTAGGATCTTCAATACATATCTCATTACACATTACACCAGCTGGGGAGTTTTTCGAGATTCATTGCTTGAATAATGAATGAAAAAGATGTTTTTATTTTCGTCACTTTCCATAGCTCATTTAACCCTCAACTTTTGTTTCATCATTAAAGTATGTTTTCTCTCCAAGCCCAACCAAGCCATCCTGGCCCTATTCCATTCTTCAAGCTTCTCTTGCGACAAGTCAGAATGCTCGGCTAAAATCTCAAATTTTGTGGCTTTATTTTTGAATGTCTTGATATCAGACTTGAGCGGCCCAAATTTAGATCCGCCCACTTTGATTTCTTGTTTGACTGTCTTCAACTTGTCTCTAAATATCTTGTCGGGATCTGAAGACTGGGTCGTTGAACACCAAGACTTAATTACCAGGTCTTTGAGAAGCCATACGTTAAAAAACCTGAAAGGTTTTGCTCTAAAGTGTTTATTTGAAGACTTTAAAATAATCGGATAGTGATCAAAGAGTTTCCTCTCCAAACCCATTACTAACAACTCTGGCCATAAGGAATCGAATTTGTCGTTAATCAAGAATCTGTCCAACTTGCTAAACTTCTTCTCGTTAACCCCGACTCTAGTAAAAACGCCTACCTCCCATTGGGATTTCGAAACCCGAATCCTTAATAAGATTGTTGAAGTTGTCCGTTGTCTTTTGATTGAAAAAAGGAGTTTTTTTTCCTCGCCTCTATTACTTCATTGAAGTCCCCGAAAATGCACCACTGTAGAGAGGATGATCCCATATAAGGTTTCCCAAAGGGTTGGTTTTTTTCTCAAATCATGTGGACCATAATCACTGATAAATCCCACTTCAACATCCCCGTTCTTCCATTTTCCAACAACACCCAGATATCCATCACCATCGAATTGAGAATTACGCTTTGATCGAGTTTGGTCTAGCCTCCCTCTCTTTCGAGAATATCGAACATCTTCAGCGTACCAAGTCTCCCTCCAATCCCCATCGATTCCTGGATAAAAGGTTTCCTCTTGATGCCTGTTCTTCAATTGTACACGAACTCACACTTTGGAGCATCTTTTACAATTTTCTCCGGATTGATACTCGTCTCAGGAAAAAGATTGTCAAGGGCCTGACTTCTTTTTTTGGACATAAGAAAATGCCTCGAGCCAATGTTCGAGTACCAGGCACTATGGCGCTGAAGTAACCCAAGCCATTCTCCCAGGACGTTCGCAAGAATGAAACTCAAAGGAATTGACGGGGGCCTGCACAAGCAGTACCCGACAAGGAATTTCGCTACCTTAGGACCGTTATAGTTACGGCCGCCGTTCATCTCCCTCATTGGGCCTGACTTCTTTTTTGGTCCGATCTCCCTTGCTGGAGTTATTGTCCATCTTGGGCCTGATTTCAACCGGGCCTTGATTATGGGACAAAGGGTCTAAAAACCCTCTTCAGATTTGAACGGGGAAGGAATTCATCACTACTGTTTTCTACGACCCTTCTATTTGCGAATCATTCACCACTTTCAAGGCTTCATTACGACCCTACACGCGCCTTCTTCAGCGAGATCATCAATCCACACGCCTTCGTTGGACGGTTTTCTTCTCTTCGAATTCCTTCCATCGTTGACGCTATCACCATCATCCTCCGAGGATTCAACATCATCATTCTCGTCTGAGATATCTTCTTCAAGATCGATCAAAGAATCCTTATTAGTCAAGTCTTGATCAAGAGGAATGTCAACCTCAGATGTTGTAGTTTCCTGTTCCTCAATACTAACCGTGAAGCGGTGCCCATCAACGACAATCGGCAAAAGTGAGCTTATACACCTGGGTTTGATTGTCAAAACCAACACACCTCCTTTAATCAAAGACCTAGCTTCCAATAACGAGCAGTTTTTAGATTCCAGAACTGTAATCATGCCTTGAGCAATTCTTTTGAAGGAATCTTCAGTCCACGCATGAAGTGGAATACCATAGATATCCAACCAGAGTAATCTACTAGAATGAGAATCTTCAAAATTCCATTCTGCAACTGATTTGAACAACACTTTCAACGAAGAGTTATTATTGCCCAGTCACACTTCTACTGAAGCAGAATTGTCTACTTTCAGCAACAAATATAACCCTGCTAGACGTTTAATGGATTGGACCTCCACACATTTCTCCTCACACACAGATTTAACATCTTCAATAGAGCATAACTATTTCGTTTCACAGATTAAACTAAGTTGAATGAATTCCTCATTCATAGAGGAGGCTTCCAATCTCGAGAAGCTGCCGTCATCTTTATTAGAGGTATGATCTCCCACCTTTTCCTCACCTGCAGCAGTATTAGGTTCCGATCTCCGTTCCTTCTTCCCCTCTTTCAGTTCCACTCTTTTATTCTCCTTCCCAGAGCCTTTGGCCACTTGAACATATGACCTTCCTGTCTCCGAAACCTTGGTAAAAAATTCTGTTTGACCTTCTGTCCATCATTCCTTCTTTCTCCATTTTTGCTGGTTGGCCTTTCGATATATCATGAGCTAAAAGAAAACTCTCATCTTGTGTCCCCTAATCCATATAGTATTTAGCCTTCTCAAAAGATGCCAAGCTTCTCCCTGAGATGCAAATCTGGCAAAACCAAATTCTTCTCCTCTTATTACAATCTTTTATTGGCCATATAGATATCCACCACGTTACCATATCTTTTGAAGACTTCCCAAAGATGACTTGCATTCCAACCTTCGGGGAAGTTGAAGAACATAAACGACACTACTCCTCTTGGAAGACCCCTGCCCACATCTGTGTGGAAGTTACCATCGTAATTTTGATTCTCCTTGGATCGAGCCCACTGATCAAGCGATCGTGCATTGCTCCTAGACGTTCTCTCCCACTTTCTCTCTCTCTCCCTCTCTCTCATGCGCTCTATTCTCTCTCCTGTCTGTATTAACACCATTTAGTAGGCGTTATAACTTTAATTTTGTGTCCATCTTGTTTATGTTTGATCTACTTTGTCGTTTGGATTGTCTTGCATTTTACTTGAACTTTTAGTTATATCTTTTCAAAGCACTTCTCATGCTAACTTTGCTTATTAGCAGGCATTGGAGCATTGCTAAAAGAAGAAAAAAAGCACAAAAGATGTTTTAATTGGTGGGAAAGAGGCGATAGAATATTTAATGAAGAATTAGGAGAGGAGGGGACTGATGTAACTAATTAATAACTAGGTGAGAGTGGAGGACAATATTTAAACAACAACATATGCCTTTATGCTAGTTATGCATAGGTGTTGACTGTTGAACTTAAAATCTTTTGTTCTCTTATAATTGTTTTTCTCAAAATGTATCCTTTGATTTCATGACCTTCAACCAGAGAAGCATGCAATCACATTTGTTGTGGAAAACGAGAAAGTCATCCCTCAGATACCGACTGTGTTATACCTCTGAATGCCCTATTAATGACATACCATAATTATTATTTTTGACATGCAATTGAGGAGTTGCATTTAGTCTTACCAAAAACTGATAAAAATTGTCATTTCTGCTACTAAAAAATGAACAAGGTATAGAATGATTCTTTATCTTAATTTACGTATTGGACAAACTTTTATGCTTTGGTATAAAAGTTGTTATGACCTCTCATCCTGTTTTTGGAGGTATTTGCTGTTGAAATTTCATCTGATGAGGTGAACCTGTTGCTAATTCAATCTTGAACAATAAAGTTGGTAGGCAACCTTTCTTATTTAATCTTTTTGCAACAAAGTGATGAAATACAGTTTGGAAGTGCATCTTGGCTAGACGTGCACTTTCATGGTCCATGTTTAGCAATTCATTTGATTATACATCGTCCTTGATTTTATGTCACACAAGGAACTATGTAACTTGCACAAGGTGGAATCCTCAGGCTCATAACACCTTTTGGCACATATTTAGAAGTTTCTCTTCTAAGTACGTTACAGAAAGAAAACAAAAACAATGATGATGATAGTGATAAATGCATAAGAGATTAGTATAGATGGGCCTAAGGGCTAACAAACATGCTTCCTAGATAGTGATGACGAACTTGATGGTAGTAGCACTTCTTTTTTAAGCTTTGTGGTGGACTGACCAGTTAAAAAACAAGTATGCTTGCACATATTTAGAAGTTTCTCTTCTAAGTATGTTACAGCAAGAAAACAAAAACAATGATGATGATAATGATAATATATGCATATGAGATTAGTGTAGATGGACCTAAGGGCTACCAAACATGCTTGCTAATTAGTGATGACGAACCTGATGGTAGTAGCACTTCTTTTGTAAGCTTTGTGGTAGACTGACCAGTTCAAACAGGGGATAAATTCAAGGACCCCAATTGCAAACTACTGGCTAAAACTTGAAAACTGGTGCATTCACAATACCTTGTCTTCATATATTGTCTAATGGTTACTCAAGCCAATGCCTATTGTCACCATCACACAACTGTTCTTCTTTTATGCATGTCTTGTGTCCTGATGTGGTTAAAATTTGCATCATATATACATTGACTTGCATGTCACCTACTTCTGTAACTGCTACTTCTGGTTCAGTGTATGTTGAAGATGGCTCCAAAGCAGATCGTACTATGAGGGAGGTGGTGCTGAAGCTGATTTCTGATGGACTGGAAGGCAGATTATTGTCTGTTATTGAGAGTCTCTTGTCTGCCACTTATCCTGAAAGCATGGTAAGCTCATTGGCCATGTACATGAGTTATAAAGCTTCACTTAGAGGAGCTGCTTTATGTACTGTCACAACAGTAGTGGTTTATTGCAATTGTCATCTTTAACTCTTCTCCCACTTATTAATGTTTGTTTTGAGTTGGTCTCTAAGAAGCCTGTAGTAATATAGCTCTAGCAAGAAAATTTTGGTAGAAGAACCTAGTTTATGATAAAGATCTGTGATGGGGAAAAGGATCTACATTGGCTTAGAAACAGAAGTATAGTCTTAAGAGTTTGATTTGGCGTTTACTTGTTCTCTTTTAATAACCTTTTTTGTGGCTGTTCATATATCGTTTTGGATAGTGGGTCATCTTGAGTGTTAGACAGACTTTTGATGTCATTGCTTTTTTGCAAAAAGGTTCCCATTCATCTTGACATTAATGATGGATGGTTGGCAAAGAGACACGCACTAAATTTATGACACAAGGTGAATAAAGATGGCTTTGAGAACTTGGTCAGTTGACGCTTTGATAAGAGGAGCGTGGATGGTGGTGCAGTTTGTAGGGAGTGTTAGCTCTATAGAACTTGCATGATGCCTTCAATGCAGCTACGCTCAAACCTCTTACAGCATAGAAAGTTGGGGCATTGAGAGACAACAGTCACATAACATAAACATGACCGGAATGCAAATATAAGACCTGGATGATCATCCCTACCCTTGGTAGCTTATAATTACGTCCATCCCCAGTCGGGTACAACTTCCTTTTTCTCCCTTGTATCCATTGCTCCGGGAAAGAAGGAAGAGAAAGGGAGGTAATCACTATAGTTGCTCAAAAGTTGTAACATGAAGTTTGAGAGAATCATCACTTGAGATTGGCTACTCATTTCCAATGTGAATTGTAGGCTTGAAGGATGACATTGATATCTTCTGCACTTACCTTGGCTTATGTAATAGCCCATTGGGAAACAACTTTTGACAAATATGCTTCTTGGGTTTTGTTTGCCTCATTGACGTCCTTTATACAGTTAGTTTTTCTTTGAATACATAATAAAGTTTGTCTTTGACTGTTATGCAGGATGTGGACGTTTTCACCTTGTGGGCCGAGGAGATGCTTATTGAAGATAATTTGGTCCTAGATATTCTTTTTCTGGCTTATTATGAATCATTTTGTACATGTGATGGCAAACAGTGGAAAAATCTGTGTTTGCTTTACGAGGTATATTTTTCTTCTACAGCTATTGCCTTCTGATACCCTTCTTATCTGGTTAGTTACTCGAGAGCAAATCAATGCAGAGGATGATATCTGGGTCTTGTAACTTTGGAAAACTGGCCATATCAGCTGAAGCTGTGCTGTCTATATATCATGCTAAAGTGCAGCTGCTACTTATTCTTATAGAAACCCTTTACCTGGAAAATCTTCTCCAAATGCTTCATGATGAGATCCCTTTCAGGTTTCAAGCTATTTTATTCGCTCTCTATCCTTTTCTTCTTTTTCCATTATCTTTTTTGTTATTGTTCGTACCGAAGTTAACTCAGGTTCCATCTGCCTTAGCTTTATACTTAGCCTTGCAATAGAAAGATAGATAACATCATATATATATATATATATATATATATTTTACTTTTCTAGGGATAAGGCTTTCTCCAAGGTAAATGCCGTCTTTTAATAGCCCTTCTGTTATATGGACATCTTTTCATCATTGTCATTTGAATGGCGAGTAACTCGTGTATGTTTTGGATTTGGTGGAGAAGGCCTCTCTCCGTGGATCCTCATGATATTGCTCAAAATGTTTAGTATTGTATTACATTGACATGTATATGGAGAAGATTTGAACTAACTCACTACACTAACATGAATGCAGAACTGGGTATAAGGATTATCAAATAGTTTAGTTTCCAAACTAATCTCCAACGCTTATTAGGTTATCCTAAATTTCTCCATCTTTAGAGTACAACTTGACATGTGGAGAATTAGCAATTAGCTATCAAACATATCTACCTTTGCAAGAATGCTGAAGACATTTCTTTTGAAATGAGAAAAGGCCCATGTGAGATCTAGTCACCTTGATACCCAAGAAGTCCTATAGTCTTCCTAATTTTTTTTTATTGAATTCTCTCTTAACGAAGACCATATTATCTCTACAAATAACATCGAGATAAAGCATACGAGCAATTGTTTTTTCTTGTTTTCATGTGAAGGAAATTGAATAGTCTTAGGGACTCCGTGTCATCACAAACTTGTTTAGATCCTTGGACTTTTAGTGCTTGCTTTAGAACATATATCATCTTTATAGTCAATGACTACAAAACAAGAGGCTGCTTCATATAAACCTCTTCCTCGAGAACTGCAGAAACACATTCTTGATATCTAGCTGGCAAAAGGGTCATTAATAAATAACAATTTAAGCAATAACAGATCCAACCAAAGTCATTTTAGCTATAGGAATAGGACTAAGGGGCTGTTCGGTTCATTTTCTGTTAAGACCTTTATGGAATTAGCTGTCTGTATGTGTATAGATGAGTTGTTGTTTGGTTGTTGTGCTGAATAAACAGTCTAAATGTCATAAATGACCATTTTACCCCCCAGTCTTTATTTTTGTCTGAATAAAACAACAGTTTGATTAAAATGTTGAATTGATGACTTATAATTATAAAAAATACCCATTTTCCGGCTGCAATTTCATTCATACATGCTCCGTTGGTTGTTTATCTTTCTTCTAGCAATACCAGAATGTCGGTGTATGATAAAGTATTCATGAACAGCGAGCTCAAAACCCACCTTGATATTCCGTCTTCAGCTATGGCTCATCGTTGGAATCTTCGTTGGAGCTATAATTGTTCACGTACTATTTCTTTTCTCCCTTTGTATCACCTCCGGCCGACGAAACTCCCTGTCGAATTAAAGAAGGAAGAAATTTGAACGAACACAAACCCTAACCCCTGCTGTGTCGAAGCATATACAAGAGATCGTCCATCATGAGTCATCGACAGCGGTGGATCACCGTCCACCTCTGCCGGAGATTCAAATCGACGTAGGGAAGTCAGAGCACCGGGTGGTTTTCTCCAATCGCCTATCCAGCGGTGAGATTAGAGCTACAAGTATTGAAACCACGTCGTATGGTGGTGTACCTTCCTTGCCGGAGGTTTCGCATATAGGGTGGGGCCGGTTTTACACGCTTCGGGAGCTTTGGGCGGCAACAAATGGACTTTCTGCTGAAAATTTGATCGGAGAGGGTGGTTACGGTATCGTCTACAATGGTGCGATGGGGGACGAGTGGGTAGTTGGGGAGAGGGGCAGATGGGGAAAATTAATACAATTTGATGGCTGAGTACATAGGAGTATGGTTTTCAAGCTGAGCAAATTAGCCCTTGTCTGAGCGATTTAGCCCTTTCCGAACAGATAGGTATTTGGGTAGGAGGGAACCTCTAATAAAGATTCTGGTGGAGGATCACTGACCTCCTTGGAGTCTAGCGTAGTCTTAGTCGTTTTAGGGACAATAGTAGTGTGTTCCTTTCTTCTCTCTTGCATGTACATGAAGAGGGGTGCTTAGGGCATCTCTTGTTGAGGATTCACAGCATGTGCTTTTGAGGATACTTGTATCATGACCTTGTTTGGCAAAAAATCAACTTTCAAGTATATGTCCAACAAGTAGTATAGTTCTCTGATGAACCAAATTGGTATTCAATGACTTCAGCAAAATCTTCAGAATGATTTTACTGAATGAATTGAATGGATACCGGCATTTGAGAGGCCCCACTACTCTCTCGAGGACTCATGTCCGATTTCATAAAACAGAATGCCCACCTCCAGATTATTCTCCACAAAATATTCCTCCCAAAAGTGTGGCCAAGGTGTAATTACCTCGGTACCTTTGTTTTATTTATTACTATTGCTAAACTTCTTTATTTTCCAACACACTACCTTATATATTATTTGTTAATCCTCTTATCCTCCTGGTGTAAGTGAACCCGATTGGAGGTTTGCCAGACTATCCTAAACTCTTGATTGTAAAGCTGAATTTGTATGGGACAGTAAATCAAACTGATTGGTGATTGTAAGATCTAAATAATGGAATTGCAAACAAAGAAACTATTAGCTTAATCTACTGTTTCTTTTATGTTTTTCTGTAAATCAAAACCCAAAGTTACAATCACACAATCCAGTTACACATAATAGACAACTTGTTTTGATATTATAGCAATTGTTATGAGATTAGTTTGAGATTTCGGGGTTCAATTTTCATGCATCTATTATCTCCTGATGTTGTTCCTAACATTTAGCTAAAATCGCATCAATTTGTGTCAATGATCTTATTATCTCATTGAACTCACCAGCTACATCTTGATATTTCACAATTATTTCTATTACAACTATGTTTGTATGCATATCCAGTTGTTTGATCAGGTTTATATTGGATTTTGTGGCAGGCAGGGCAATATATCTTTTGCCATGAGCGATATTCAAGAGGTGGATGCAATTATTTCTAGCTTTGATGCCTTTGAGACGAAAGAAGCAGGCCCACTAATATTAACTTGGGCAGTATTTCTATGTCTCATCTCATCTCTTCCAGAAAAGCAGGAACACAATGTGCTTATGGTACACAGCTATGTTTGAGTATTCTCTCATCTGCCATGTTACATCTCATCAACTGTGACCATATTTTGGTTTAATACTGCAGGAAATTGATCATGTGGGCTATGTTCGTCAAGCCTTTGGAGCTGCATCTTTAAATTATTTTGATGAAATTCTTCACAGCAACTTTTTGAAGGATTTGGAGGTGGGTCATCTCGAACTTTTCTTAATCTCATGATTTGTTATGTTAAATAACCTCACCAAGATTAAAAACACTTGAAATACTGTTGTGTTAGGGCCCAATTGCTGGTTTTTGTAGTGTCTTGAGGACATTTGTCTCTGCATTTATAGCATCTTATGAGATCAGTCTTCAGGTAACTGTTTTTTTTAAAAGGATCAGGTAACTGGTTTGGTATGCATTGCTTTTGGTTAACTAGCATAGACTTTGTCTTGAGCATTTTTATTTATGGTGCCTTCTTTGCTGTAGTTAGAGGACAATAATCTCAAACTGATATTGAGTATTCTTGGAGAAATTTACCGTGGAGAGGTTTGGTTATTCAATTATTTATTCTTTATGATGTTAATTAATTGCAAACTATTTCTTTCTGTTGTAAATTTATTAGACTTCCTTGACTATAAATGGTACAGGAGTCCCTCTGTGTTCAGTTTTGGGACCGAGATAGTTTCATAGATGGTCCTATTCGGTGCCTGCTTTATAACTTAGAAGGTGAATTCCCCTTCAGGACTGTGGAACTTATTAGCTTATTATCGGCCCTCTCTGAAGGAGCTTGGCCTGCAGAATGTGTGTGAGTACAACTGTCCTTTTTCTTGTATCCATTATCTTATCTATACTTTCTGCTATATGATACCTAATCTCTTGTGGACCGTACAATATGTACAATGTATTTGGTACAAATTTTGTCTTGAGCTCTAGGTTACTGTTAACTGAGCACCTAATTTTCTCTCCGACTGTTTACGTGTAGTGAGTTTCTTGACTTGAAAGAAACGTGAAGCTTGATTTCTCGACAGATTGGTCACCTTGTTTATATTTAGTAAATACAAGTATATAACTGATATGGTTCACATGATACTTTCAAATGATACTGCTGCTTCTTTACCTAAGTTAGTTGGCATATTAACTTTGGCAAAAAGTGGCTTAAACAAAACCATGGGGAGGTACAAGGGGTAGCAGTATGTTATTGCACACAACATGGACCCTTGTTTTATGAATACATAAAATCTATGATGTGTATAAGGTTCTTGAACTTTTGCTAATATGATTATTGGAAAATCAATAATAGTTCTCCCCATCAAATTGCAGACGAGGTTGTTCCTAGACATATCCTTGTCATTTGCTCCTCTTTGAACTGCTAACTTGTACCGAGTTCCAGCCTTGCATATATATCATAATCTAAGAGGCTGTTTATTTAGCTTAATGAGCTTAATGGTATGGGGAGCTTATTTGCTCAACCATATATCGTCGTTTGTCTGCGGCCTGATGATTTAAGTCCTCAACTGATTTGGGTTAATTGGGACAGCCCTTCACCTTCTTTATTTATTGAGCCATGTTATTTTCGACTCTACCTTCCCCATTGATCCTTTATGTGTGCTAATACAATTTGAGTTTTTTTAATTAATTTAAAAAAAATAAAAAGATGGATTTAATGTACTCTTCTATGTTTAATGATTAAATTTTTTGCAGTACAGCTTTTTAATGTGATATATTTTTCATCTATTACAATTCTCATAATATTCATAATTAATGACGCTTATTTTTGATTTATCAAATTTTTGTATCTTATCTTTGGGTTTTAACATACTTTAACCAATAGTTTAATAATGCTTTTAAACTATGTATTAAATTGAATTTCGTGTTATTTCATAATGTTTGTAAATGACGTCTGCAATTCAATTTTAGCCATGTTATTTTCTCTCTATCCTATGAGTATTATATTAATGTTCTCTATGGCATATTGACATTTAACTGATGATTGTACGATGTTATGTTATTGATAATTTATGTTACTATTATTATTGTGATAATATAATTGAATGTATATCATTGCATTAGATCAAATATCTTTTCTTTAAATTATACATAAATTGATATTTTTTTTTCATTCATGACATGTTTGATTCATCCTGTATATTCAGCACATATGTAACCTCATTTCGATGCTCGAAACTGTTACCTGAATGGTGTGTTACGCCCATTTCTTTTACCTTGATCATGAAACTTAGTATTAAGTAATTTTTCAAAATTTGCGGAAGCGATAGAACATAGGTTTCAATATATCAAAACTTGCATAAAAGATGGAAACAACCTTGCAACGTAACAATCTGCTAGTACATGAAACTGAAATCAACTTTACGATGATGCCTGTCGTCCTCAAACTATTCCAACTTGTGACCACTTTCATGGATTCTACTTCTGTCACATCTCTTGATTCTTATCTTTGATACACATACATTTTTAAGCAACACTAATTGCTGGGTGATTACGAGTTTTATAGATATCCATGTAAAACATTTTCAGGTTATGCTCATAATTCTTTTAACACTAGATGAGCACATGATGCATGTGACTAATCAATAGCTAAAATGAATAGCTTATCAGCACATAATCAAGAATATAAACAATTCCTTATCTAGGATTTCAAGAATCCACGTAGCCTCATATTCTAGGATTTCAAAGAATCCACATATTCTAAGATTTCAAGAATCTGTTTGACTCTTTTGCAACATGATGATGAATATAAAATCATGAAGCTCTTATAACATAATGCAGTAAATTTTATACTCATGAAGATATGTAGCAAAAATGATTATTATATCAAAATAACCAACAAATCTTCACTGAAACATAAATTCCATGTTTTTTTGCATAAACTCGTGAAATGGCATGATTTTCAATCTATCAATTCAAATACATGAATAATAATCCATTTTTGAAAATATATACATATTGCGTATCACATCGGAGACAAAACATGTAATCACCTTTGTTGTGGTAATAGTGGTAAGCTGTAGTTGAGCTACAAATCTGCAGAAACACACTTTCTTAACTTCTTTTCTTAGAGAGCTAGCTCAATCCTTTCTCCTCCTCTTTATGCTTCTAAAATATATTAATGGTTGTTGGGTTTCTTAATGTTTTTAGAGAGATGAAAATCCAGGAGAAAAAGAAAGTCTCCTCTAACGGTGGCAATTAATGTTCCTAAATGAGGTGTCTAACCCTTCTCACTGCATCCTTTACATTTAGTCACATAATCCATTAAGAAGCCAACTACATCCCTTATATTTAGTAACATGATCTTGATCCATTTATAAGCCAACTACACCCTTTACATTTAGCCACTTAATCTACAAATAAGTCAGAATGAACTCCACTAACTTTGGATAAATAAATGCAATTGCTTTTCCTTTTTTAGTACTAAAATAACATAGTTTAATTTCTTTTATTTTGATTAATATATTTTAATTTATAACCCATGTTATAAAAATAATTACAGCTCTGCGATTGTTTCGTTTTTATCTCCATTTTGACATAAAAATATAATTAGTGTTCATTACGATGTAATTTAGGGTTTCAAATTGACGTCGTTTAATTTTATTAAATCAACTATAACTTCGTATAATTATACATTTGGTTCATAAATACTTATTTATCTATAATTGTATTATAACACTCTGGCTTGATTGTTGGCACTTGGTCGGTAACCGATTAGTAAGTCAATTGTGCTAATTAACATCGTTTTATTATAGATTAACATTGTTCATTAGTTTTTTGGGCTCAATCTTGGCTATTATTCTTAGAATGTACTTATGCTAAGGTTTCGATATGGCTCGAATCCCATCGGTTGACCTTTTTATTGGATAACGCATCTACGGTTCCTTATTGTAATAACACATCTAGGCCTGAAAATGGGCTGTTAGAACATAAAGAAAAGGCAATAATTCCTTTATCAGAAAAAACAAACAACCTTAGACAACTTTCTTTCTTTCTTCTGTAGCATACTTTTTTCTCCTTTTAGAATTCTGACCGCCTTTTAGCTGCATATCTCTTAATTATCTTTGGTTGTCCCATAGAAAGTATAATAGTAGTTCACCTTGTGATGTGTGGCAACAAGAATCAACATTGATGATGTGATAATTGTCTTTTGTGAGCAAGGAGGAAAAAGTTGGAAGACATACAATTAAAACATGTGTCGGTGAGCTTAACAAAACGTTCAATACTGACCTTCAGTTTGCTATTACTGCACATTGGATAACTGATTTTTGAAGTTTCTATATTGCATTTATGTGGGTGGTTGAATCATTTTAATTCAAGTTTGCCTTCATTCCTCTCTCCCCCTCATGGGTAATCTTTTTATGCAAGCTGGTCTTGCTTCACATACTCTTCTCCCGAGTTTTCTTTTTCCCAGACAATCCAAATTTTTTTGTATCAAGGTTTTCTTGTTTTTCTGGGTGTTAGTGGCTCTTTATTTAAAATTTTAACCTTTTCATTTACATGTTCTGTCTTTTTAAACTGTGAACAGATATAGGTTTCTGGATAAATCTGTTGGATTGTCTACTCTGGTTGAGCTAAGAGGCAACCTTGGGATAGATAAAAATCCAAGTTTTGTTGATACTCAGTTACCACTGTGTGTTCCTGGACTTGAAGGTCTCCAGATACCAAAGAATACACGAGGTCGTGTGTTAAAAGTCATTGATGATAACACTGCCCTTGTACGGTGGGAGGTAAACATTAAATCCTTCTGCATGTCCACTTATTAGTAATTGTCTATATTCATTTTTTGGGATACATTATCCATCTACATTTTGATCTGTCATGGGCAAAGTAGTTGCTTAAATTCTATCTCTTGTTTTTATAGCTGACCTGATCATTAAGTTTCTTGCTGAAGGCTTCATTTGTTGGCGGTATGTAAATTTGGTTTACTATTAAGAATGAAGAAGAGGGAGGAATTAGAGAGAGGGACTATGATTCACATCAGAGGCGGACTTGGAGCTTTCTGAACAGCATTGTTATTTTCACATTTATCGAAATTCCTTGGGTTCACTGACCAATGCCAAAAGTGGACTATCTTTGTCCACTAATTATTCTCCCTAACTCATATTTCTTGGAACATCATGCAATGAATGTAACAACCGGACTTCCCAATTTCCCAGAAGGAACGAGTGCGTCACTGAGTTCTAGCTTACTGATGTTGCTGTCCTGTAACATGCTAAGATAACAAAAGAAAAGAACATGCATGATAGAATGCAATACAATCCATCTTACTCTTACTTTACCACCATTTCTTGTTGTGCCCACATAAATATTATTTATCTCAATTGTTAACTTCAAAAAATTTGACTTTCTAAGTTCTGGTTTTGGTTGGAGTGCATATATAAGATAAACTTGTTGATTAAGTCATCAGTAAACCCATGGGACAACACGTAAAAATGAAAACAAATAGGCAACAGTCTTCCACACATACACATGTGTAAAGAAGCATTGGACAGATAGGTTAAAGCTTCAGTAAAACCATCAATGAACCGTAATTGATTGCGGGCATTAGGTGTGCTGCAGAACAGTAAAACACCACCCAACCCAAATATTGATAGAAGCCTTTTAACAGCATGCTTTGAAAAGTTCTCTGCTATACTTGGAATGTTGGGCCAACTTTATTTTTATGTATTGTGTTAATGTATGTCTACTGTTATTTTACTTTGTGCTTATTTTTGCTTTGAATTTCATGTAGTACACACAATCTGGAGTGCTAGTGCTGCTTTTGCGTGTGGCACAAGAGATGTATCCAGATTGCTCTGAGGAAGTCCTTGTTACCCTCGATTTGTTGAGTCGATTGGTCACTTTTAACAAGGTAATTTTTTGGTTTACCATCTTATTGTTTCTAGACCGAAGAAACAACACCTCGATGGCTGGTGCGAGCATATTTGCTATTACTTTTGGTTAAAGTTGATGTTTTATGTGGATATCCGTGCTGCATTGCTTCTGATTTTTTGCAAAATTGTTTCTTAAAATGGTAAGTGGCAACCGCCCAAAAAATTATGCTTTTCCTGAAATTCACCTCCTTGTGAAATCAACATGTAGTAATTGATAGTATATTTCGGGTAAGATCAATCATTTGACTTGTTAGGCATGTAGATTTGATTCATGAAGTTTTTTGTCTACTTGAGATTATTTAAGAACAGTTTTGTCTAACCACTATTTATATAAGCATTTTTATGAGATTTTGGTTTGATAAAGTAGGTGGATGTCCTATTAACCGCCTTTGAACTATTAAAGTGAGCTGAAGTGATCAGAAGTGTTTTATCTACAGGCTGTGTGTTATTCTCTAATGAGCATTGGTGATACATTCCATGGCAAAGAAATAACTGGGTACTGAGCAAACCATCCTTCTCAATGGAGTTCGGTTGTGTCATCATCTTTTCCTTTTTCTTGTTATCTAATGATCTTTAGGTTTTGTGATTTATAAGCAACATTCTCTTGTACTATTCTGTACTTTCTTTTATGCAGGTTAAACATGGCTGAGATCATATGCACCTTGATCAAGAATCTTTCTTCTAATCGTAGTGGAGCACTATTGATGTCAATGGGTGTTAACATTCTCGCTATGATGTTAAAATGGTAAGCTGGTCGGTTATTTATTTGTGCTTTTTAGATAGAGCTGTTATGGCAAACGCATTTAGGCCTCCTTTTCTGTTAAATTTATGGTAGATTTTTTGTTCATCATAAATTCTTACTGCACGCTAACACAATCTTTTCTTGCTTGCAGCTCGCCATCTCATGTCACTCCAACCGTTCTGAAGACAAATATATTTGATGTTGCTTTAAGGATGAATCCCTTTAACATTGGCTCTGATGGATTATCAAGGTGTGTTCACTTGGGACTTCATACATGTATTAGCTTTTTCTAGTAAATAATCTGAAACCCACCATAGGGTGAGTGCTTTTAGATTATTTAACTTTTTTGTTACCTCTATTTGGTTTATATCAACTGGATTGGTGCTTATGACTGAATTGAACCACGTTCTGTGAGCTTGCTTTCGTCATGGACATCGATGTTAGTATGTCACATGCGGGATGAGATGTACAACATGCAACTTGATTTGACATTCTTACACAACATCCTTGCCTATATAATTTCTTGTGTTATTTTTGTTTTTCACTCGGGCTTACCTTCAGCTGTTTATTGTCTAGTGTTTGTAAGATAGCTGGTGTTATTCAGCAGGGTTTTTTTTTTGGCTAATTTACTATATTTTTTTTCTTTTGTTACTTCAGTGGCTCCTGGCTGCTTTCTGGAAGACTTGCTAAACTACTTCTTATCGACTGCGAGCATAATGACAGTTCCTGCCCACTTGCTGTATCAGGCATGCTACATGATCGTCATCAGTTTTTTGTTTCCAGTATTCTTTTCCGTTGACAATAAAAATTAACACTGATAATTTTCTTAAGCTCAACATGGGGGCTCATGGACATGCTTTTCTCTTCCCTGTCAAGTCCTTTTACTATTTGCCGATTGTTTTTTACATCCTTTTATGATTATTTGACCTTTTGATGTCATACCAATATACCAATCTGGAAATCAATGATCAGTTGTATATACTCTTTCAGGGGTGTTGTTATTTCCAGGTTAATATCATATGTTGAGTTAATGATGTGATGCTTTAATGATAACTTTACAACATAAATATCTCCTGTCAAAAGCTTTATCCTCATGTAGGAGCCTGCTTAATTGAACTTTGTTTATATAAGCTTTGCATGTGGTATTTATTCTTATTTCCATGGTTTTGTTCTTTCTCAGTGCTGGAGTTCACCATTCAGCTTTTGGAGAAGGGAATAGAAAATGACTTCCTCCTGGCTCTTGTTATTTTCTCGATTCAGTATGTCCTAGTTAATCATGAGTACTGGAAATACAAAGTGAGGCATTTTCGTTGGAAGGTGACATTGAAGGTATGTCTTGGCCTACCTATGAATTAACATGTCTAAAGGTAGTACACATGCATCACCCCTATTGGTGTTTAACATAGTTGAATGATTTTTTTAGATTTATTAGCTTCTTAAAATGCTCATTATATCTTTCTTTAAGACCATGTGTCATTTCACACATTAAAGAGAGGCATTAGTTCATTCTACAAATAGTTTCTTACCTTCTATGTATGGCAATGATGAAAAAATAGGTATCAAGTGGAAGGGATAGATTGGAACCACAGTGCCATCACAAAATTAAATATACAAAGGCTTGAGGATTTCAAATGAGTATGTATATAAACTATTTTGTGGGACATTGCATGATAGAAAGTTTGGACTAGATAGACTAACTAGTTTGGGACATCCCAACTGGGAACTATATCACATTTCTTTCAGTTTGTTTCATTTTGTTAATTGACAACAACGTATCGTAATTTGATTTGTACTTCTGTAGTTTGATGTCCACTCATCAATTGTCTTACAGTTCCCTTATTTATTCAGCATGGCTGCCTTTTTTCTTTTTAATCACTGTCTTGTAGCACGCCTGGTTCTTTTTTTGTATTTTGGATGGCTAATACGTTAATGATTGTATCGACTATAATGAAGGACAGAGTGACGTCTTATAATGCAGAGTGTACCAATGACCGACTTACCAAATTGATTGCATGGTAATGATGATGTTGGGCAGCACTGATTTAATACAAGTTTCTTAGTAACCTTAATTGCTTAAATGGAAATAAGGCATCCCTCATTGGCGGTTGTGAATGAAGTAGTTTTGTTCTTTTTCCTCTTCCCTGCCCTATCAGAAGGCAACCAGGTTGTTTAATAGATAAGGTTGGGATAGTGTCATCTTTCTGTTGGGTGTCTATGTGGTTATGCAAATGTGTGATTCCTACTTGTGGTTTCTGGTGGAGAACTTCTTGCTTCCTCATGTGTTGGTAGATGAATCAAGAAAAGGAAAAAATTGAACTCTGTCCCTAGGAATCCTTATGATGTCCAAAAAGAATCAATTGGAACTACATTGGATCAGTCACAGAGTTCATGCAACAACCTTAAACTAGAGTATCAATAAAGCTTAAAAGCAGTGCTGTATATTATTGTCAGTATCATCCATCCAATCAAGTGGACCTTCCGAATTTGAAATCTAGTGTTATGGTGTGTCAAAAATTCTACATTAACATGGTGGAGGAGTGGCCTTGTGTCTGTGTATTATGTTTCAACTAATGTTCTCATGCAGACCTGCGGGCTCCATACTTAATTTTCTTTGAAGTATTAGAAACCTACTTTTCAGAAGGAAAAAATTAAAAATTGGACATGTGCGGATGTTTCCCCCCTCTTATCCAGAAGATTAATGTCAGTCCAATGGACCTATTAATAACAAAATCGGTAGCCTGCCTCTTCATTCAGATTTGGAAAAAGTATATTTTCCTACAATGAAATAGGCTGAAAATTACAACAAGCAGAAGTTTTAATCAGATACTTTATGAAAACAAAATGAAAAAGCTAAAACATAGAGCAGCAGGTGAAGGGGTCATTAATTTTCAGGAGTTGAGGTCATGCCACAATTCCAGATGTCATTCTTCATTTGCACGATTCTACAGCTTCAAAAAGTGGGAATTATTTATTTTATTCGCTTGTTCTTCTAGGTGCTTGAATTTGTGAAGACATGCATTTTGTCAACCTCACACTCCCCAAAATTGGGAGAGATTGTTCGTGATTTGTTGCTTTGTGACTCTTCCGTCCACAATGCTCTCTTTCGCATCGTTTGTATAACAACGCCAACTTTGGAGGTTGACTTTGATTTCCCTTAATACATATTATTGCTGGTTAATATTGGATGATTCCGTATATGCTGTAATGAACTCATGTAATTTTGCAGAAACTTTATGTTAGCCGCCTGTATGAACCAACGGAAATCGAAGGACTGCAGCTAGCAATTTGTTCAGTATTGGATATTTTCAGCATCCTTACCGATTTTTCAAAGGTGTGTTTGCAGTGATTACATTTGACATTTTTTGGCTAGGTTCTACAGAAAATAAAACAACTTGATTCATCCCTTTCACGAAGGCTCCCAGTCAACATTCATCTCTGATCCACTCATTATCTGGTTTTGGTTATAATGTTCATATGTGGATCTATTGTCCAACTCACAGGGCGGAACCCAAAACAAAGAACAATGGAAACTTGATATATAATACATTTTGAATTTAAGATGATTTTGCATTCAAAAGAAGAAACAAGGCCCATCTTTTTTCTGTGTCAACTCTAAGAAATGCAAGGAAAGAAACGGGTAACCAAATGTTCTAGCATCATGTCCAATGTCTTGAGTATTCCACCAACAGGTTATTTTATATTAGCTGGCTACCAATTTGTTGCTTTTTATCCAACTTGTGATGCATGAAAATATAGAACTGTTGGTGAGCATAACATCATGTTTGAGTGCTCTATTTGTAGGATACTTTGCCTGGCTACCCAGTCTTCCTTCAAGCAGTGCTGTCATCTGCAACCAAACCAATTCCTGTTGTGACGGCTATCATTTCTCTGATATCATTCTTCCGAAATCCTGTAAGGCAGTACAAACTTGAAACAATTAAAAATGCTCTTCGTTAATTTTTGTAGTTGCTAGTCTTTCTTCTTTAAATTTAGATACTTCATTTCTCAGGTATTGTTTGGTTCGGGCATGCGAACGAAAATGAAAATTATATGGAATGAATTTTCATTCCCCCAAGTTTAACCTGGAATGAAAATTGGGCATGTGGGGGAATGAACCCATTATATTATATAAAACCAAACAGTTTCTTTTGTTTTCAATCTCATTAATTACTGCTTAATAACTCTAACCAAACACCCCCTCAATTCATTTTCGTTTGAACTGATTCTTGTCCTAGATTTCAAAATAATATCTATATATCACCAAAACTTGAATGGTTAGACATCTACTAATAAATGGTTGTTTATGTCCAGTTTGTTATCTTCAGCTACTATTTATTGTTCAATGAGTTTGAGTGTTTTGCATGCCCCGTCTTCTTGGAAACAACATCTCGGTCCTTGAGACTGAGAGATAAAGGTAAGGTTGTGTACATCCTACCCCCCAGATCCTACCTCCAAATGGGATATATTGGGTTTGTTTAGTTTGGTTTAGTGATACTAAATTACTAGCTTGTGTTTCTGTTAGACAAATCTTGAATGCATGATATAACTTGAGGGTATTGCAACAAGAAAAAGAATATGGTACGGTATAGCAAAGGTGATTTTTTGGATGCTGTAAGCAGTCAATTGAACTGTCCTGTTGTTTAGATCCTGCAACTGCAGCCAGTGGTACTTCTTCTTATAATGCAGTTAGTACATTAAGTATCATCAAACAGTAGGTGATTTCTCTATATGTCATTATTGCCTTTCCACAATTCCTTTGGCAATATGATAAGAGTCGATAAAAGGTTGCCAAGATTAGAGTATTAAAACCCTACGGCTTTCGAGAGGCTGCAGTGTCTCCCAATTCAATTGTAGAGAATTGAATTATTATAAATTGATCTATATTCCAAAAGGGTAAACAATGAAGGTATTTAAACTAAAGAAAAACAAATAAAACAATTAAAATAAACATAAGATAGTTATCTGTAAACTTGAGGACTTATGACTTATCCAAAATTTGCTTTATCTTTATCTTATTAATCTGCCCTCCTCTCTTTCCTTCTTGAATATGTCTTTACACTCTGAAGTCTATCAATACCCCCCCCCCCACCCAACAACACTTGCATCTTGTCCTCAAGATGAAAAGAAGGAAATTGCATCTTCAACGCTACACAATCTTCCCAAGAGGCTTCAAACACAGGTAAATTCTTCCATTTGATTAACGCCTCTTGTCTTCCATCCTGTGTTGTTCGTACTTGTAGGACATCTTCCGGTTCTACTATCATTTCCATATCGTCATTCAATTGATTCGGCAATGTGGTTGACGAGGCGCACTTTGTGATTGCTCTCCTTAATTGAGAGACATGAAACACTGGATGGAGTCGTGTAGATGCTGGCAATTCCAAGCGATAAGCCACCCTTCCCACCTTGCCTACCACTTTAAATGGTCCATAAAAACGTGCGGACAACTTTTGGTTGTTGCTTTTCCTTAAAATATTTCTGTCGGTAAGGCCTAAGCTTCAAGAAAACCATATCTCCAACGTCAAAATTTACCTCCTTCCTATGCCCATCAGCTTGTAGTTTCATTTTAGGTTGTGCTTGCATTAAGAACATTCGTAGCAAATCAATCGCATCATCTCTGTCTTTTAACATTTGCTCCACGGCTGGAACGGTTGAGCCTTCTTTAGATCGCAATATTGTTGGAGCATCTCTCCCATATAATGCTTTAAACGGTGAACGCCGAATGGAGATGTGGTATGTGGTATTGTACCAATATTCAGCCCATGTCAGCCACCTTTTTGATAGTTGTGGCTTGTCTGACGTAAAACACCGTAAGTACTGCTCAATGCTGCGGTTAACAACTTCTGTTTCTTCGTCGGACTATGGATGATATGCAGTGGTGAACTTTAACTTTGTACCTTGTAATCGGAAAATTTCCTTCCAAAAACTGCTAAAGAAAAACCTTATCCCTATCCGTGATCATTGAGTTCGGAATGCCATGCAGTTTAACAATCTCCCCTATAAAAACTTCGGCTACCGTTGCTGCTGAAAATGGGTGTTTTAACGGAATGAAGTGAGCGTATTTGTTTAACCGATCGTCTACCACCATAATTGTATCCATGCCCTCCGATTTTGGTAGTCCTTCTATAAAATCCATTGTCAGTTCCTCCCATACCAATAGCGGTAGTGGAATTGGTTGCAACAACCCAGTAGGTGTTCCACTTAGGTTTTTATTTCTTTGACAGACCTCACACTTCTTGACCCATTCCCTTGTATCTCCCTTCATCGACGTTGTACTCTTTCGCGTCTTGAACCACCAACACACTAGCTCCTTTTTGGATCGGTGACCCGGAGAATACTTCTCATCACACCTGTAACATAATCATTGAGCCATACGTTGTTGAAGTTCTTGATCGGACAACCTTCTGAATTCCCCGATAGATATTCCTCACTGTCCACTACTCTTGTTGGAGGGTTCAACAAATCCCTTGTTTCCCGCAGATCCTTCTCCATTACACTTGTTCAACCAGCTACCTTTTGGGTTATTTATTCTTGCTAAAATCTTGTTCTTTTCTTCTATCCTCTGAGCTAGTTCCATGGCCTTTCCCAATCCCACCGGTGCGAGGGTGCGGACTTCTGCCTTGATTTGTGGACTCAACCCGTTTAAAAATTGACTAACGAAAACTTCATCCGGAATCCCTTCTAACGAGGCTGCCAACATAGCAAACCTTCTTTTGTATTCTGCCACCGTGCCGTCTTGCTTAACGGCCAAAAATTGCTCACATAAAGATCCCTCCCCCGCTGGTCTAAACTGATGAAGCAGTAATGTTTTTAATTCTTCCCGTAGCCTAATGGGTCTCATCTTATTCTCCCACTGGAACCACAGCAAGGCGTCACCCTCAAAAGCAATGACCGAGACTTCTAGTTTTTCTTCGTTGGTTAGTTTATTAAGAGCGATATACTTTCCAGCCCTCAATATCCAACCGTCTGGATCTGTCCCTTCGAATACAGGTAACTCTAGTTTCCTCCCCCTTATCGCAAGAAACCGACCAGTATCGTAGTTTTTGTCTACGCGATAGTCCGCTTTTTTGGTTGTCCATTGTCTTCGCTTTCATCCTCTCCCCCGCTCTTCTCCGTTCTCCTAAGCGCTTCTTCTTGCAATATCAACATTGTTTCCATTTGTTTGATCACTTTCTGCATGTCGTTCTTTAGCGAGTTCACCTTCGCTTGGACTGTTCCTAAGCTTACCTCCACCTCGTTCATCCTCGATGTTGTTGATCAAGTCATTATCGCGTGAATAGTAATCGTAAACAATGATCATGAACAATTACTAATCCAGAACAGCAGGTAGGCTCTGATACCAATTTGATAAGAGTCGATAAAAGGTTGCCAAGATTAGAGTATTAAAACCCTACAACTTTCGAGAGGCTGCAGTCTCTCCCTATTCAATTGTAGAGAATTGAATTATAATAAATTGATCTATATTCCAAAAAGGTAAACAATGAAGGTATTTAAACTAATAAGTAAAAGACTCCTAGAATAAAACGGATCCTAAAGAAAAACAAATAAAACAATTAAAATAAACATAAGATAGTTATCTGTAAACTTGAGGACTTGTGAATTATCCAAAACTTGCTTTATCTTTATCTTATTAATCTGCCCTCTTCCCTTTTCTTCTTGAATATGCCTTTATACTCTGAAGTCTCACAATACTTACTCGTCAATTTATATCGAAGCAGTTTTTTTCTTTTTCTATTGTTGATTTTGAAGTTCTAACTGTATGAGCTACTTAAACAGAAGATCCAAGTGGGTGCTGTAACTGCTCTGTCCATGTTACTCTTGACTGCTGACGATTTACAACCATACATGTCTGGGAATGCATGCTTAGGTCTGGATGACAAGCAGGTAAAGCACTGTTTAAACTTCTCTTTGATTTACTCTCTTTATGTATTAGCACTCTGTTTGCTGACTTGGTTATTTATATCTATTTCAACTCTTTCATGCATGGTTTCTAGCAGATTGCAGATTTTAGGAATTCTATCATTATGATTATCAGCGAGCAATCACCTTCTAACGAAGATCTCATTGTCAGTATGTTTAAGATGCTCGCTTCAGCAGCATATTATCAGGTCTATTTTTTTCCATTCATGAAAAAATCAATGAATCACTTAGTGATTTTAGTTTCATGACGAGATTTACTGTGTTCTTTTTGTGATTTATTTCTTAACTCGTTTGCTTTAATTATTTCTAATAGATCTTTAATGGTCGTGTTACATCCTTTGCATGGATCATTGATAATGGACAGTTAATGTGTATACCTTGGTGTGGGTCTTTATTTGTTCTGTGCTTCGTTGTGGTCGAATACTGCTACGTCTTGCATGTGCATGTTTTGCTGATGACGCCTAACATTGAAAAAGCAGGCTATTCCATTATCACCACAGCTTGATTTAAGATTGCCCAGTGTGTCCATTCCCTATGTCAAACTTAACAGTATCTGTGGATTTGAGTATATTTTATGGATGCTGGTCTCATTACTTTTTTTCATTGAAACCTGCTTGTGCTCTGCCTATGCACATTTTAATTTGCATTTTTTTTAACTCTTGCACTTCCCCACCTGCCTATCTGTGTTAACCTTTCTAGTGTGCAGCCTGCCTTTTTTGTAGCTATAACTGATTCAAAGGATAGTACAACCGAAGTTAGTTTTGGCTCTTTGGTGACCAAAGGAGAAAATCTGCTTGATGCTCTTGGGGTGTATATTAAAAAATTCCCAGAATTGATAAAAAGGTACATTTTTTAATAATTGTAATGCTTCATTAAAGGTTCCACCTTAAAAGTTGATATTTTTTTGTTGCCAGCCATCCCAAAATACTGCTGAACATATTGGACTTTTTGATGGCATTGTGGCAAGGTGCTTCTCAGTTTATTAATATCCTTGAGCATCTGAAGAAGTCTGAAAATTTCTGGGGGCAGCTGTCCACCTGCATTTCACTAGTCAGTAGCATGGAGGATAATTCTTCTGGAATTTTGAGTACAGACTCTTTAATCTCATCATACAGATATCAATGTCAGGCTGACATATTGCAAATTATGTCCTTAGAGATGTTTTTGCAGAAGAAGGTATTACATTCTGAGTTTGTCAGAAAAGGTTCTGAATTATCAAAAGATATTCTTGTGAAAGGTAGTAATAGTGAAAAAACAGAAGATGATAGCCATAGTGGTCCAAGAGAGATATTATCTACGTGGTTCAAGAGCTCATTCCTGAGCAAGTTGATCAAGGTGTACGCTTCCTGTGAGTATGACAATGACAAGTATCTTAAAGGACAGGTACTCTTTGTCAACATCCCATCACCGTTTTGTTTGATATTGTTTGCTAGTGCTCGAGTGTAAAATAAGATAGCATTATTTTTGTATAATTTGATAATATTCGAGTTTTTTGTTTGATGGTTGATTTGGACATTTCTGCATATGCTACAGAGGATTGAATCTTTTACCGAATGGAGATTCTTCTTTAGTGGTATTGGTCCACACCCTTGGACTAGAAGGTTTTGGCTTTAATTCCAAGGGGGAACACACATACATGATTAGATCCCCTTTGCTTTTAAAAGAAAAGAAATAAACAAAGTTCGAGCGTTGAGTGACAAATGGGAAATTTATGGAAAGTTACAATGTCTTTATGTGATTCAAAAAACTTGTGATAAAATTCCGAGTTCGAGGAAGATATGGTTTACCGAAAGGTATTTTCCTGCTTAAGCATACTTGGATGTTTAATGAACTTGATCTTCTGGATCTGAGTGGTTCTCACATTGATTACCTAGGGAAGCGACTGCTCCCAGCTGCATGACCTGCATGTGAATTTTTCAATATTCAACGTTTGCCCAACTTTCCCGCTTGTGCACTGAAATGGAATTGCAAATTCGCACACTAGTTATTATAATATGTGTCGGCCACATGAAGTGTTTCTCAATTAGACTCGATCAGAATAAAGAGTCGCTTAGATCCCTATATTAGAACATTTTTGCGAACTCTGTTCTGATTTAAGTTCGATGCTCTTTCTTTGAAGATCTTAAAAATCTTGGCAAATATAATTACTATTAATGGTTTCATTATATATGGAATTTTGGCAGGTTTCTGCTGCTCTATTCTTTGTTCAAGTTATTGGGAAATTAAGAAATGGTCAAACAGGGAGTTTGTCTGTTTCTCTGGTTGAAAAATTAAGTGTACTGGAAAAAAAGGTTTGTCTTCTTTCTTATTTGCTTGGATTATCATATCTGTAAGTTCGTTCTTTTCCAACTTTTGTTGTAATATTGTGGTTACCAGGTTTTCATGCCTCCTTTTGTAGCCAATTTGTCGTCAATAACAGCTTCTCTTCATATTGCAGTTACATGACCTACCTGCATTTTTGGAATTGGTAACACAATACAGACAACAAGGCTACAGGTACAAATTACTGTTGTGTCCCTATTTAAGCATGCTTTTAATGAGAATAAGTAATCCCTGTCTATTTCTTTAATCTACTGTATAGCATGAATAGAATAGCATGCAATCAACATGGTTTGGTTGTTACCATCTTGATAAACAATTGATAACACAGAGAGGAAAGTGAGAGAATGAGTGGGATGATTGGATTGATTTCCAGCACTTCGAGAAGCTGGAATCTCCACGACACTTGTCAAATTGCCAATACAAAACATGCTTTCTTAAACTTCTACCCCAAAAACTGTAATGACTCCGAATTATAAGTGCAGATGCCCAAAGACCATATCCCCTCTACCCGACTGACACACATGCACTGAACGAGCTAACAATAAGCTTAACAGAATATTAAAGTTAATTTACCAAAATACCCTGGGCCTATTACTTCTTTTGTCTCCTTACATACGTGTATCAAACCGGGGGTTTATCATATCCATCATACTATGAGATGTCTCTGTCCAGATTGCTTCGGCATTGTAATTCGTTCAGCTTCTTTTCTAGCCAAACAGCTTTTTATCGTTTAAATTCCTCTTGTCCCTTCCAACGAAAACTAAGGTATTACCTTGCTGTATATTTTGTTCGACAGCGAAGGGAAGGAGCTGAAGAATTTGATATTGAGCGACCTGTATTATCACATGCAAGGAGAATATGAAGGCCGTGAGATAGAACATAAGTTGTTTAAAGAGCTGTTCCAGTTTCTGCTAGAATCCAAGTTGTTGGAAAGTTACCAAAATAAAGATGCTGAGAACTTGTCTATTCATGCTAAGGGTGTCTTTTTATTTGACTGCACCCGTCTAGAAAAGGATTTAGGAATAGATTTATGGGATATTCTAGAATGGAGAAGCTTGAAAACAGTTGCAGAAACAATGTTGGCTGACATGAAAGATGTTAATTCTATGTTGTTGCTCAGTAATTGCAAACTTTTAGCTTTGAAGGCATTGGCAACCATGTTGCCTGTATATGATGAAGATGTAAGTTCTCATAATCTTAATTTCTGTTCATCTTTCCCTTCATGAGTAAACTGTTTTTTCCCAAGCCCTGGTTTCATGTATTCTTTAATTTGCATTTCTTTTTAACTTAATGCTTGTTCTTCATGCAGGTGATGTGGAAGGCTACAATTGGTGGAGAACTTCCTGAGCAACTAATTAGTTCTTGCTTCAAACATATTTGCCAGTCTCTCCATAAAGCCACCGAATCATTAGTCCCTTCCAGTGATGCTTGCAAGGATGTCCTTGATTTTCTTGCAGCTCAAGCAGAACTACTTCTCCATTTTATCAGATTTGTACAGGGAAGACTGTCTTTGCCATCCTGTGTACTGGTTATAAAAACTATTGAATCCAGTTTAAAAGAGTTGAAAGACTTGAAACCATCTTCTGTTGATGTTAAACCTACCTTGAAGCTTTTACTTACAGTGCTTCTCATGTCAGTCCAACCAACTTGCATAAACTCTCCGGCAGTTGGATCGATCAATAAGGAATCTGAGGTATCAGATGTATATTTGAGGCTTCTACCAATTCTCTGCAACTTCATCGAACCTGTTGAGTACTCTACCCTTTCTGTGGCTACTATTGATTTGCTACTTAAGGGTTTCTCGTCACCTACAACATGGTTTCCCGTAATTCAGAAGCATCTACAGGTGCAGAATATTGTTAAAAGGCTTCATGATAAAAAATATTTGCCTGCAGTTCCTGTGATACTAAAGTTTCTTTTGACGTTTGCGCGTGTAAGAGGAGGTGCAGAGATGCTTGTGAACATTGGATTCTTTTCGTCTTTGAGAGTATTGTTCGAAGGCTCACTAGATGGTGGTACACTTTCATTGGCGAATGGAAATGAATCTGAGAAAGCTGAAAAGGAAAAGCCTCAGCACATATGGGGTCTTGGTTTGGCCGTGGTATCGATGATTATTTATTCGCTCAGGGACAGTTCTTCGAATTCTGATATGGTGGACTATGTCATTTCTTGTTTTATATTAGAGAAATTAGATTTAGTTTCTTATTGTCTAAATACACCAAACTTTCCGCCTGATATTGATAGAAAGAAGAGAGCTCGTGCTCAGAGAAAACAAACAAGTTTGACTGCACTCAAGGAAACGCAGCACGCCCTCATGCTAATATGCATGCTAGCGAAGCATCCCAACTTGTGGATTAAGAATATGAAAGAAATGGATTCGCAATTAAGGGAAAGGAGTATCCATTTGCTAGCGTTCATTAGTAGGGGGCCTCATCTTGGAGAACACAGTAGGGTCGCTCCACTACTGTGTCATCCCATCGTTAAAGAGGAGTTTGAATGGTACAAGAAACCCTCGTTTATAAACAGCAAAAGTGGTTGGTTTTCTCTTTCTCCTGTTGGGTGTGGCTTAGATCCTAGTTTTTCAGCCTTATCATCATCATCTGCACTTGTAGTTAAGGACCCGTCTGCCGAAAACATAGATACTTCTCCTCAAACATGTTTCTCAGACATGGCTGCAATAGACGTCTACAAAATTGCATTTTATCTTTTGCATTTTTTATGTCTGCAAGCCGATGCTGCTGCTAAAAGGGCGGAGGAGGTGGGATTTGTTGATGTTGCTCATTTTCCCGATCTGCCGATGCCTGATATCTTACATGGGTTGCAGGTGCATTATTGGCTCTTTCCTCCAATTTTCATATTTCTTTTATTGCCTATGGTGAGAGAGAGAGAGAGAGAGAGAGAGAGAAAGAGGAGACACAATTGTTAGGATATCACACCCAATTATAGTTGCAGAAAAAGAATAATCACGCACGCAATATTTAGATGATTCAACAACTAGCCTTTATCTATGGAGACCTTAGTCTTTAATTGATGAATTTAGTAGGATATTCATAGATTGAAGAAAGAGGGATATGTAGTTTCCAATACCTTTTCCATGTTTGCTTCTACCTGCTTCCATTTTTTTATGTTGCATGCTATCAACTAGTAATAGTTCATCTAAAAAGTTTCCGGTCTTATTTGAATTTATTTTTTCAAATTCTTCAAAAAAAATTAGCAAGCTTTTTGCAACTCTCGGGTCAAAACTTTTTCGCAAGGCGGGGGTATTTACGGAAACAACTCTCTACTCTTTGGGAGTAGAGGACAGTTCTGCGTACATCCCCCAATACACTACCTCTTATTGAGATGTAGTGGGTTTGTATGGTTTTAATTTATTCATGGATAGCAGACCACCTTATTATGAGAAGAAAACTGGACAATATATGGTCAAGATAGGGGAATCCTCATCCTAATAGCTGTAATTGTTTCTTAATTTCAGTAGTGCATTTGAAGACCTGCACAGGGTCCAATTTAGGCCTCATACCTGACAATAATGCGTCTACTACTCACGGTTACATGTACCGTTAGTCTTTCTGATATTTGGTTCTGGGATTCATTGGTGTCCGACAGTCTCAAGGAAACTTACCTACCAAATAACATGTGCAAATCTAGGACACTTAATGTCTGATAATCATGTTATAGCATAGATATATTGATGAACTACAGACACAGTATAGTTGTATCTGTACAAGTATGTTGCTCATGAATAATGAATATCAAAATCTGCACATATTACTGATCCTATTGTAACAACAAATCTCAGCATTTGAAGTCTACTTGTGAATAAATACGATGATGTATAAATATAAAAAGATATGTATGAACATAAAGATGCATAAAGGTTACCTATAGAAAGAAAGATGAATAAATGAACTTTCTTAGAATGTGACATTGTGAATAAGAGTGGTATTTATCTTTTTGCTGGTTACAACTTGATGTAACTGTTTCAACTTGTTGATTTTTAAGGTGGGAACTATTATATTTATAGATGAAATAGATAGATGAGTTGACTCTGAGACAGGTTGTTGCATTAGATATGATCTGGAACACTTGTTAATTAGTTTGTGTTTAACGCAGGATCAAGGAATTGCTGTCGTTAGTGAGTTATGTGAAGCCAATAAATTGAAGCAGTTGACACCAGAAATAGAGGGTGTCTGCATCTTGCTTCTGCAAATAACCGAAAAGTGTCTGTACTTGGAATTCTGCGTGTCACAAGTTTGCGGTATAAAACCTGTAATGGGACGCATTGAAGATTTCTCAAAGGAAGTCAAATTATTGTTTAGAGGTAATTTCTTTTAGTAGGAGTCGTTATTATCTCTTTTATTTATGTGCTAACCGTTTATTTATTAAAACTTGTGCAGCGACGAAAGAGCATGTATTTCTTGAAGAATCGGTGAAGTCGTTGAGACAAATAACATCGTATGTGTACCCGGGATTGTTACAAGACTGAAGGCTGCTTGTGATGTGATTTGAAGTTAATAAATTTTGTTTTGGATGTATGTATAATGATAGTTGAGTTGCAGGGTGATAGGAGGAGATGTTAATAACATTTTGATCATGTACTTTTGGTATGATACTAAATGTGGTGTAAAAGTGCTCCATGAGAGATTATTCTCCTACTAATTCAATTGAGAATCATCAACATGAATATGTCTCTTTGAGCAAGAAATTCTTGATCAAACATCGTTATTAACCACCATTTCAACTTTGCAATTAGCACATCAAGTCGTTCTTCAGTCATTGCATTAATATGACGGTCGTGAATTCATGCAATTGGACAGCTTTTGCTAGTTGGTTGGAATGTTTTGATCAACGAAGACACTAATTCACGCAATTGGACAGCTTTTACTAATCGGAAGTACTTGAAGAAGTTATTAGTTGAGCCTTTTACAACTCATTCTCTTCACGCTTTCTTGTATTTTCTATCCATCTCGATTTTTATTTTATGTTAGGTGTGGCTTCGAGAGGCTTATTGTTACGCGATTTATATAGAATAAATCTCTCAGACTGCTAATAAATGGAGACTAGTGCAAGTATACAGTTATTAACCCACTATCGTCTTTTACAAGTAATAAAGTGGTAAAAATACCAAATATCGTCTATGGAGAAAAATGAATAAAAGTTCGTTTTAATAGTAAAAATAAAGATATGATTTCAGATGGTGAATTCGAAGAAATATTTTTGGTGAGTTGATTAAACACTACTGTTGTGAACAAGTTTTAAAAGAGAGCTTAGGGTGTAGGGATTAGTTAAGATATTAAACCGATTTAAAAGTAGACAGCATGCTACAGCATGGTTCTATAACATGCTTTATAAATCACTTATCTTTACAACTAATAGATTCTTTAAGGTACTTTCTCGAGATGTAGAATGACACACAGTCATAGATCCAACCCTCATATCTCTATGCAAGGCTGGAGTCCCGACATTGGCTCAAACTATTTCTTTTATAAGCTAAATGGAGCGAAAACGAGTCTCCTCGATTCTAAGTAACTCTCTCGAGCCTACTTCCATATCATTCAAGTTGACGTGTGTTTGTTGGTTTATCTCTAAATCCAACATACTTTAACACTTTTAAACAAGTGATCAACTTGTCCATGTATGATGTTTTGACAATAAAAACTTGAATGACGTAGTTGTAAAGATTTATAATTTATATTTCTACAAACGGGACCGGTCTTTATCTTAACTTCACCCAACATCCAAGCTATATTTTTAGCCTAACATGCTTAAAAAATTAATTGCATAAATAATAATGCATAAGAAAGGAAAATAACGTAGAAAGAAATAAATACTAGACGTAATTATAAAAGTAACTGACGATATTTAAACTAGGAAAATTAACTGCATGAATAATAATAAAGCATAATAAATAAAACACAAGAGGAGAAGAGATGGTGGAAGAAATAAATGTAAAGATGGATTTGTAAAAGAAACTTAAAATATCTAAACTAATAATATTGATTGCATAAATTATAAAGCATAATAAGGAGAATTTAAGAGAAAAAAAGATGACAAGAGAAATAAACGTAAAAAGAAATTATAAAGAAGAAAAATAAAATACTTGTAAATAAAACTTTAAACCCAAAAGAAACTTCAACATTCAACTACTCCAAGTGTTTCTCTAGATTATTGCATACAAATTGCTTACTTCTAAGACCAAGCCTCCCCCCTTTATAAAGTGGAGGAAGGGAGGGTAAAATCCAATGGGTAAAAACTTTTACCCACATTTTTACACAAAACAATGGGCAAAACCAAAACCACCTAGAAGATATCAAAAATCATATCTTTAATTTGTCCTATGAGATCTTGAAAGCTGCAGGAGATGAGCTGCCAAAAAGGGAAGAAGTGACCCCAAAAGATTCTCGTACTATTCTCAAAAATGCCCCTGGATCGTCCTGTAGCACATACTGTAACATGCTTCAACCAAGTACCTAGAAACAAGGCTATTTTCCCAAAAATTAGCACACATCCATGAAATAAACATGTTTATCACATCACTTTAGCTCCAATATAAAAAGATAGAAAAGCAAAACCAAAAGACTCAATTTGTAGAATTTGGGAAAATGAAATGGGTAAATAAAGTGAAGAAAAAGTGCAAAAGTATCAAATAAATTGATACTTATCACTTATCATGTCGTAGTAGTATGGCTCGATGCTTATCATGAAGCCAAAAAGAAGAGAGAAATAGTTTAATGAAACCCTCACTCGTTGTTTCAATGTCGGTAATATCGCAAATATTCGGATCAAGGGCCCCAAGAAGATTGTTTATGATTCTTTGATTAAACTTGGTAATCAATAGAGATAATGGGATTATAAACATCGATTTTGACTTGGAATTGACGTCTGCAAATGTCGAACAAAATGTTTTTTTTTAAATCTTAATTTGGGGATCCATAATCCCAAAGCCTTTGGTGAATCTAAGACAAGTTGGAAGTTACGATAGAAGGACGTCGAAGCGATTGACAAAGACATCTATCTGATTGAACACCAACCTATGAGTTCAACAACGTATCTATTTGTCAATTCAATTATCTCACTTTATTTTTCAGTTCGAGAAATCTATCTAGTTAACGTCTACTTGTCAGTTCAAATATATTGTTTTCACTTTTTCTATTCCACAAACAATATGTGATTCTTTGATCCATATCAATAAGAATTAATTTTATTGAAAAACTTGTGTATATGTATTTGACCACCTTCTACAAATACTTCAGCTTCCTTCTTAATGGTATGTATCTTATTGTCATGTGTAAATCGTTTGTCTTATGAACTTGTATATCATGCTTGTTTTTTTTAGAGAGTGTAAGTTTTGCATATTTTTAGTTGTGTGTATATTCATTCATACCCACTTTTAGGATTTCATCTTATTTCCATTTTCTCAATCAAAAATCAAGTCTTTCATTCTTATCTTATATACATTTGTGGTTGGAGCTTGGTTAACGAAACTTGGTCTTGTTATGCTAAATCAAAGAAAAAAATATATTAATTGTGAACTTGATGGAGCATGTTGCTACTACAACTGAGACCAGCCCGGTTAATGGTTCAGTTGAGTTGCAAGTGTTTTGTTAAAGACGCCTTTTGTTCTATTTAAATAAGTAATAGATGTTCTGCTGATGGAAGTTTGTTTGATTGAAAGATGTTTTTTTGTACTACCTTAAAGTTGTACTTTGATGTCTAAAGTCACTTTTTGGTAGTAGATTTTGTTTGGTATACCAATGGGTAATACGTCTTTTGTTTTGTTCGATAGTGCATCTGTCACAATAGCATGACACTATGGTAGAGTTGTTTATGGGCGGGACGACCTGCTAGACTCATCATATCCGGCTCTCTATAAAAATGGGCTTAGATTACCATTCCCAAATAAATTGACGGGTCCGGACTGACTTTTTAAAATTAATAAGCGGGCATGGGCAATGGAAAAATATTTCGGCAATTTTAAAATTTAAAGAATGTATATTGTTATGTATTTACGTCTAATTTTAAGTTGGAAAAATTGTTATGTATTCTGAATAATTTTACATAACTTGTGATTTATATAAGTCTTGCTTTCATAAAAATATAAAAAGATTTTTAAGTTCGCTAGCATGTGAGCAAGCCCGGCCCGTTTATAAGGCGAGGAGTAAGTTTTCAAGCCCATAAAAATGGGTTTGGATTTACCATGTTAGACCCATTAAAAAAAGTATGGTAGGTCCAGTCCAATCCCACAAATGATCAACTGTATACTATAGCATCAAATATACATTAAATCTAAAATTTAAACTATGTAAGCTTGAACTCAAGATAACTTGTTTATTGACTTGAGCTCGATAAATTTTATCCTTTGATTGTATAATTTATGAACATGCACATGTTTACCTTGAAAAAGTGTGAATGACTTGACTTGACTAAAAGAGGTTTAATCGAGCTTTAGAATGAACAAAGTAGCTCCTTAATAACAACTCCCATCGCCTAACATCTTGCCCCTAACGTTGAGACGGATAAACCTATGACATTGGAGTTCATCCCATGACAAGAGGTTAATCTACGAAGATATGAGATTAAATATAAGGAAGAGAAGACCAAGGGGCGATAGTGATAATGGTCAAATCATCCATTAATGATATGTGATCAACACTTGAAGGTTGAACAACTGATGAAGATATCAATACGAAGTCTCATAAACTTAAGAGCATATATATATATATATATATATATATAAGTCTTATAAATAGTGGATGCCTAGCAAATCACCGGAAGACACTAACAAAATGGGAAAATCCTTGGTAGATGCCACTTAAGTTTGTTCAATGGATGATTATGTCTTATTCAACGAACAAAAGGACAACAATACTCCATCACAAATAAAAGGGACACATGAAAGCTATAGAAAGGTATAAAAAATCAACCCAACAAGGACACCAAAACGTTTGTGCTTTTAGTAGAGGATTTAATGTTGCGTGATTTGATTTGCATTCAATGCATCGTGGACGACTTGAACCTATTGAAGACTACATGTGGCGTCGAATGATGAAGATAGAAACAAGATCTTCAGAGGATGAATCTTTCGATCTCTTACTTAGAGGATAAACCAACTTTCATAGTTGTGAGTATTAAATCTAGCGACTACTTTGAAGACCGACGTGTGAAACATAGAGCTATCAGTGATATCAACAATTCTTCAAAGGCATTTTGTGTTCCATGTTTAGTGGCTTCAAGATCCCATATTCAAATACAAAGACTCACTCCTTGTACGCTACTCGAGCAGAAATGATTCAAGACTTGTGTGAGATGATTATTGTAGGAGATATTTGTGTAGACATCTGTCAAGGATATAAATTGTTCACAACATATATTGAATCGTAAAGCGAGAGGTTAGTAATAAAATTTATCATCAAATCTTTGAAACTACCATATTCATTGCCTCTATAGTTTGTGTTTTTATATTGGTATTTTTAAAAAAGTTCACAAGCTGACCAATCTTACTTTTCATCACAAATTCCCCGCTTAAATCATGACATTCTTCTTATTCATTAATAACGTGAGATTCATCTAAGATCTTACAAGCACCCACATCATCGTTCTTGATGATGACTCTAACAACATTTTGTAACTCCCAAACCTATTTTGACGTTATTAATTATTAAAAATCAATCAAAACAATTATTGTAGGCTTTATTTTGCGTGGATTACGAATAATTAAAACAATGAGTGTATGTTATAAAAGTCTAGACTCAAAAAGGATGCTTATGAAATGGTAAGATTATTATTTAATTTAATTTAATTGAAAATAAAAAAATGAAAAGCTTGTAGTCAACAACCACCATCCGTTTACATGAAAGAGGATTCGGATCACACAAGGTTTTCTGTAAATGAATCTCCACCGTCCGATCAAAACTGTGTTGTATAATTAACACCACCGATCCCTTAGGCTTCGATCTGACGCAACACACTCCCGAAAACCTATCTTTCTTCTCTCGTAACAACAAGAGAGAAAACGCAACCATGGCGGCAACTGTAACAAGCGCGTGGGCCAAACCTGGCGCCTGGGCTTTGGACTCCGAGGAACATGAAGAAGAGCTTAAACAAGAACAGACTCCTGCACCCTCCAACGGCCGTGCTACTGCGGCGGCGATGTCTGATTTTCCTGACCTCATGACGGCCGCAGCCACCAAGACGAAGAAGAAGAAAGGTCAGACGTTGTCCCTTAGTGAGTTTGTAACCGGGTCGACGAATAAGCCTACGGGTCAGACTTATCAAGCAGCCAAGGGTTTAACGGCCGAGGATATGATGATGCTTCCCACCGGTCCACGCCAACGGACGGCTGAGGAGTTGGACCGGACTAGGTTAGGCGGTGGTTTCAGATCTTATGGTGATAGGAACAACGAATCGTCGAATTCCAGATGGGGTTCGGGTAGGACTAATGGTGGTGGTGATGAGGGTCGTAAATCTACTAGGGAACCTTTGGGCCCATCGCGTGCTGATGAGATTGATGATTGGGGTGCGGCGAAGAAATCGACGACTGGATTTGATAGGAGGGAGAGAGGAGGAGGGTTTTTCGAGGGCTCGCATTCTCGTGCTGATGAATCCAATAGTTGGGGGTCGAATAAGAGTTACACTCCGTCTGAGGGGCGAAGGAATGGGGGTTTCGATAGGGAGAGAAGAATGGGTTTTGAATCTAGTGGCGATGCTGATACTTCTGATAATTGGGGAAAGAAGAAAGAAGTGAGATTTGGTGGTGGTGGTGGTGGTGCATTTGATAGTTTACGAGAAAGGCGAGGTGGTAATGATTCTTCTGATTCGGATAATTGGGGGAAAAAGAGAGAAGAAGTGAGTGTTGGTGGGGGTGGTGGGAGGCCTAAGCTTAACTTGCAGCCTAGGAAGATACCTGTTGCCGATGGTGAGAGTGTGGTGGCAGTGAAGCCAACAAAAGGTTCGAACCCATTTGGGGATGCTCGGCCTAGAGAACAGGTCTTGAAGGAAAAGGGAGAGGATTGGAAGGAGATGGATGAGAAGCTTGAGGCTATGAAAATTAAAGATTTAGGTTCAGGTGATCGATTGAAAAGAGGTATTGGGAGGCCAAGATCCAATGAAGATTCAACTGAGAGGAACTGGAGAAAAAACCAAGCTGTTGATGTTCCTAATCCTCTACCAAGGTTTGATGCTTATATAACTTGACATTAATCTCTTACTACATTTATTTGAACCACATTGTTGTTTAAAATCAGTTTAAACAGCATATACAAAGGAGCATACTTTGTTTGTCTGCCCTTTTTTGAGGTCTTATCAGATTCTCAAATGTTAGTTTAAATGGAGAGACATGAACAGTAAATGTATGCATAATTTATTCATTCATCTTTTGATTCAGAAGATAATATTCTTGAGCAAGACGCACAGGGCTGTAAGCTTTATAATAGTTTATCAATTGATACTTGAAAATAGGTGTCGACGGTGGCTGCAAGATGCATTTTTGGTGTTGCAACCAAAGGCATCTATTTTTCTTGAAGGTCCATTAATTTGGAAATTAACCTTCTACCCTATAGAAGTTGAGTTGTTCGCTTTTTGAAACATTATGAATGGCCTTTCGTTGCAAGCTAAACATGGTTCTTGTGAAAATGCAAAGAAAAGAACTACATTTTGCAAGGAACAGTGAAGAAGTGCCAAGAATGATAGTTAGTTTAGCATTTATATATTCAATTTGTTCTAAAATCTTTTGGTCTTGCAAATTATACTGCTTGTTGCTGCTTCTATGAGAATGATGATTGGTTGCAATGAAAACCAAGTATGATGATTGAAAAGTCGATCAATAATTTTGATTTTATATTTTAATGCTGCTTTCTCCATTTTCCAGTTATTTATTCTCACATCAAGTCGAGTAAATGGGAGTCACACAAATAGAGGGTGAAGGAAAATGGTATAAATGAATGTCAAAATAAATAAAGTGGTTATTAAACTCTCATGGTTCTTTTAGTTGTTGCTTGAAGAAAAAGGTAATTGGAGAAAACTGATCTTAACTTTTTTGATTGCGAGGGAACAAACATATGAGTGACAAATCTTGAGATATGCAACTGAAATAGTCATAGAAGTTAAGTGACCACTTTGCCAATTTTGTCTGGATAGGACCTTAACATATAGAGCTATTTTCTATTTCCTGGTCTCTTGTTGAGGTTTTCCTTAACCAAAGATACATTATTTTCCAAGAAAGAAGTTAACCAAATGAAGATTTGTGGATTTATGGCAAGGGTGATCCAGTAGCCTTTCTGTTAGTTTGTTGTTTATGCTGTTTTCTTGATTGCCCCTACATCAGGCAACAAACTTTGATTGTTGTTTTGTACAGTGTTCTTTATGTCTTGTTGAATTCTTTTGTTTTGATTTGTATAACCTTATGAAAACAAAGCAATTCAAAATGAGCACTTAGGCAGCGTGCAGCCTTTTTTCTTTATTTCTCAGTTTTGCATTTGTAGATTCTGGTTACTTGTTGTTTTTCGTGATGGTTATATGGATTTCAGTAGTTTGATCTATATAATTATTGTCTTTATGATCTGCTCTTACAACTAGTGAATTTCTTTGTTGATTCTCATGTTCTGATGAGATTATGATGAGGTTGAAATTTGTATGGCGAGTTGCATGATGTTGGTGCTAAATGGTAATCTTGGTTTCTAAAGGATGTCCATCTTTTATGTTGTCTTAATTTATGCTTGAATTCTACAAATTTATGCCAACTTGATTTTCTCTTGTATGTAGCAAGCGGAGGAGGTAAGTGTTGGAAGTCATATAGTGTCTCGAATCCTTTGGCTATCTATTAGATGTAGTTTGACTTTGAATCTCAACTTTTTTTTTTTTATCAATGTCTATCATTGTTTATCCATTCTTGTACAATTTAACATTGATCGTTTTTGTATTTATAATACTTGAGATATGGCTTATGATTTAATCACTGGTTTTTCCCCTATATATCAATTGGAAGTGGTGTGTTTGACGTAAGAAGTATGAGAAACAGTTTACGTATCTAACTAAGTTGCATGTGTGTAGTGATGAGAAGAATGAAAATGGACATATGGAAGTGGCTGAAGAAGCAGCAGCAGATGTGCACAAAAGTGAAGCGAAGTGAAGTGATGATTGAAGAAGCAAATGAGTATGTTTTTGTTGGAACAAGTTTTGATAGACTTGAGATGAGAGTAGAATGTGATTGATTTTTAGGACTAAATGCATGCTTGTGTGTGTGTGTTAAATTAATTAATTATGGTTGTTGCAGTTTTGTTTTATTTTCTTCTATTGAAACATGAGTGCATGTATTGAACATTATTATTATTATTTAATATATATATTGGATACATGGGTTATGTTTTGAATTACAAGCTATGATTGGTTGAAAATGGGTCGCTCTCTTTTGCATCCATAAAGCTTGAATGTATTTATTTGCGTCTTGTTACAAAGATTATGAACTCCCACACAAAGCCTCTTTAGCTTTCAAGTTTACATCTTCTTTTAGTTGTAGAACATGTTATTTATTATTTGGGCAGTTGAGACTTCCATTCCATGTTTCATTCTCAAATGGGTTTTTAAATACCAGTACTTGTATCTGCATCATGCTCATCCTCATTCTCATCTGTGATGATGGATTTGGTGGTAAGGATGAGTGTGGTTGCTGTATTGGTTGCTAATATTATTACTATTAAGATTGATATAGGCAAAGCAGATACCATGGTGAGTGGCACCGTCTTTTGCGATCAATGCAGAGATGGCCACGTTTCACTTCTTGACTATCCCCTTGGTGGTCAGTAATACTTGATCTTTCTCCTCTTCTCAATAATCATCATAATAATTGTGTCATCAATCTTATTGGTAACAGTATTGATATCAATCTTGGGATTGATATGATCATAATCATCATCAATCTTGGGAGTACAGGTATTGATATGATCAATAATCATCATCAATCTTAGGAGTACAAGTATTGGTATGATCAATAATCATCATCATAATTGTGTCCATCTTAGGAGTAAAAGTATTGATGGCTTGCCCTGGGGAGCTTGGGGACTTCACATTGTTGCGGGAAGAAACTACAAACTGGTTGGGTACTTTCACGACCTCTTTTGCAGGTACCCTCGACATGAGTAGTTGTCGTGCACAGGTTTCCGCCAACGGCCAGGGCTGTGGAGCTGCTGCCGGTCCTGCCCAGGATTTCAGGCTTAGATTTCGGATGTTTGATACTGAAACCTATACAGTCGATCCCTTGATTGCTCAGCCGGCCCAGCCTTCCCCCTTCTGCCCCCGTCCCTCACCCTTACCACCACCACTACTGCCACCTCCTGTCAACCACCTTCTACCTGCTGCTGACTGTCCGCCACAGCAGCCCCCACTCCCCCTCATACAGTTTCCGCCACTACCTCCTTTGCCTCCCTTGCCCGCATTGCCACCATTGCCTCCTTTTCCCACCTTGCCTCCGATGCCGTCGGTGCCAGCCTTCGAAGCCTCAGCTTGTCCGCACCAGTAAGTTTGATCATCCATTTCTTATTCCAAATATACCCTTGATAGATTTTTTTCCATATGGTATGATTATCCAAATTTGATCTGAAACGCTATAATTATCCAACTTGGTTTGAAAAAATAAAAGAGTGTTGTAATTGATGAGTATATGGGTTTGATCTAGGATGTGGATGATGCCCCAACACAAATGCTATTGGAAGGTGTTGAGTCCGGACCTGAAGGTGGCGATTGTTTTTGGACCGTTGGCTTCAATGAAATATGGAAGAAACATTACGTTGCATGAAAGCATGTATGGGAGAGGGGACCCTTATCGAACACTTTTAAGGGAAGGAACAACTGCTCTTTTGAACTCGTACAGTAGCAGCCAATTCGTATACCAACCTCAGGATGTGATACAACGTGTAAACTCGGCATTGACAAGCGGATCAATACAACAGGTCCTTTTGACGGCCTTCCGGTTCATAATGGCAAATTCGGGACAAACCGGAAATGTTACTTGCAGATTCACAGCTTGTGCATGATGACACAACTTAACCAACTCTATACTAATAATACAATGTTTATTAATTGGTATTTTGTTGTCGGTAATCAACTTTTTATTCAAATTTTACATGATATCTGTAGCCGCCTCTCTTTCTTCTTTTCTTGCTTTCTTTTTACCGACAACACCACGATTTAACACAAAAAGTTCAACAAATATATCGAACACGAGAGTAATGGGATGAAATAAATTTAAGCACAATGATGGAACTTACCGGTAGTGAAAATGAAGAAATCAAACACATACAAGTAACTGAAACTTAAACCACAACATACACAAGACCACAATCAACAAATACAAAGATTCAAATACCAGTAGATGAAGTTGAGAATAAAAAAACCTATAGAGATGAGTTGTAAATATCCTAGGATTAAAAAAATCCATAAAAGTTCAAATGCTGTGGTTTCAGCAAAATAAGTAGTCATCCTGGGATTAACCAACTCCTAACGGATTGAATATTCAGGATAATAAAAAAAAATATTCTAAGATGTTGCAAATTTGAAAATGGAAGGTTCCAAATAATAAATGATGTCAGAGAAACAACCCCTAGATGATGGATTTTTAAAACTAACATTAATTATATAATACTAGAATGGTACTTGCGTAATACAGCGAGATACATCTTGATTTTAATATTTCATTTTAATCTTTATCTCAGTCGATATTATAATATGGTCTTATCTGATTTTGAAAAAACGATGATGTTTTTATTTTTGAATAAAATATAAATTTGAAAGTATCATAAAAATTTGACAAAAATATATCGATATTAGTATGAAATTAACTATTTAAAATTACTCATTTTTTGTATAACTTTTTAATTCAATTTTTTTAATTATAATTTAATGTAAGTTTAATAACGAATTAATTTATATTTGGTTTAATACTATAATTTTCTTATAAAGATAATAATTAATTATTTTGTTAGAATTCGATAATTATTTTAATTATATTTTAGATTTTTTATATTTTAAAATGAGATGTTTATCCTTTATTTGATTATGTTTATCTACAGTTAGTTACACGAATTCAAATATGGAGCTTTAATAAGTTGTACTTATACATTTTACTTGTAATCTTTAATTTCAAGTAATGTGCATCAATAAACAGTATTTCATGCATAAAAAATGGTTTTTAAGAGTTTTTGTTAAATGCTTTATAATATAGTATAAATAATATAATATATATATATATATATATATATATATATATATATATATATATATATATATATATATATCACACTACCCTCCCTATGCCACAGCGTGCATATTTCACGGCCACCCTCCGCCATCTTCCTCAACCCTCTCCATTTTTTTAAAACCCTCCTCTGGATTCCTTGATATTCTCATATTTTTGCTTGTGTTGGGAGGTGGTCCGCTGTTTGCGATGGCCGACATCGTCAAACAGATCCTTGCACGACCCATCCAATTGGCGGACCAAGTTATTCAATTCACGGATTATGTTTCTTCATTGAAACAGGATTGTGGTGAGATTAGAGCCAAAACAGAGAGGCTCGCCGGTCTCCTCTGCCAGGCCGCCCCGCCCGTGCCAGCAACGATCTCTACGACCGCCCCACCCGCCGTATCATCGATGACACCCAACAGGTTCTCGATAAGACTACAAATTGTATTTAAATGCCGGGCTAGTGGAATACGGTGGCTCTTCATCATCATCATCCCAGCGGCCGCCGTCAGAAGATCCTCGCAACAACTTGAGAATTCCATCGGAGATGTGTCGTGGCTCCTCCGTGTCTCTGCCCCTGACGAGGAGTGCCGCTAACGAGCCCATCCTCTGCCTAATATGGGAGCAAATCGCTATTCTCTGCTCCGCTACGGTGGTGGAGCAGTGGGGTGACGCGGCTGGATCACTGGTTTCGTTGGTATATGATAGAATTGACATATTGTGGTGAAGAAATGGTTCAGTAATAGTATCCAGCTCTGATGCTGCTGGCTTATATATCAATGCATGATGACACCTTGGCTCAACATCAAGTGGTAATGGTCTTGGAAACAGACGCATTACACACTCTTATTACACAACCTAAACAGAGATTAGAAATCTATCAATCAACTGCCACACCACAATATTATCATTCAACTTAAAAATTAATTACACCACAACATTATCATTCATTTTATTTTAAATTAATAGCTCTTGTAAATAACCATGATTCTATTTTATTTTGTTCTTCACTTAGCGTTTACTTTATAAAAAATAAGCTATTTTGGACGTTTATCCATTCCAATTCGAAAGCTACATTCTACCAATCAAACAGACATATTCCAAATCATTTAACATATTTCATTCTAGCCAAATGTTTCAATCTCTTCCAAGTCAAAAACCTTTCTTTCAGAAAACATTATGCGAACCAAAGGAAAGGGGGAGATTTGTTTGACGAGATAGATGGCGATTAGTATAAGAGATAAGGAAGGTTCATACAACTTAATAGTAGTACATATGCTATGTAAACTTGAAATTTAACTACTTTTGCAAATATAGGTAATAATGAATGTATAATAAGTTGTTTTTAGAACTTTAAATCAAATGCTTTGTAATATAATTTTATTTTTCTTACAATTACACAAACAAAAATGGAGATAAATACGAAGGAAGTTTATCTTCAAATCCCCAAATTGACACCTATAATACATTGTATAAGCCATGCTCTTTATTCTTACAATAACAATAACCATTCCCCAAATAAATAACCATCATAATTTATCACTACACCTAAATATTATTATATATTTTGATCTTCCTTTTCATCAATCTGTTTAAAGTATCACAGGAGTTTTTAAAATATATTGTTATGTGATAAGTGCCAATTTTATATATTTTTATGCTAAAGCTACATAGTAATTAATATTAACTAGATGCTTAAAAGTTCTAGTTCGATTTAACTTGATATTTAATTATTTGAGGTTATTCAAGTTGAAAAAAAAAAAGGGGACAATATTTTGATTATTCGTTTTTTTGTTGCTATCGATCTCATCAAGTGCAACCCAATAGAAGATGCCCAACAACATTTGCAGTCCAGCAAGCAGCCTAACAGAGAAGCAGTTTTCTTCGAGTGAGAGGGAGGGAGCATGTCATCGGTTCGATCGGGGAGAAGCAGCAACATCTGATTGATTGAGAAGAGCAACAGTTCGTCGGTAATTTTTTCAGTAAATCCTTGAAACCTTTTGAATCGGTAACCTAGGTTAGCTATGTTGCTAATTTCTTCATTCTAACATTAATTAACTTTAAATTTTGATGTTTTCCCACTTTGAGATGTCGTTATAATGGTTTGGGACAAGTTTATTTGTTTGATTTATAGGTTAATCGTTAATTTCATTTAAATGTTAATTAAATTGGCCGATTAGTTAACAATCCTATGAATGCTTGTTATTCAAAACATTAGATACGCAATTGTCTTGCGGCTTTGATAGAGTGACAATGGAACTCTTTGATTTCAATAAAGTTTTCAATTTGAGTTCTTGAAATCTCATAATCAAAGTGGTATTAAGCCGAGCATATGAGCTTAATTCTTTGAGTCGGCGTTTTCTAATTCGTTAAAGCTAATTACGCTTGGGATGTTGAGAGTTTGTTCATTGTTCCATTTGTAGTTAAGATTTAGCTAAAGAACTGATTTTAGTTGATGTCTAATTTGGTGAAAACAAAGGTTGTCAGAGCTTGGTGATAATCATACCCGGCTTAAGCTTGTCCTATCTTTTTACATTTGCGAGATCGCTGATAAGTATTTACATCATCATCGAGAGTGAACTAATGTTGGGTTTCGTTTTCATTGTTTATAAGTAGTTTTTTAATCGCATGTTTAGTCTAATTAATCAAATCTACCCCCCCCCCCTTTTCGTATTTACTTTTAATAATTTGTTCTTGTACTCGAAATATTTGGCAATAATAAGTTAAAACCGAGCCCCTGTGGATTTGACCCGACTTACTGTTATTACAATTTGGTTGTAATTAGCCAATAGTTGGAGTTTATAATTTGGTGGACTCGACACCCGTCAAAATTTTGTCACTTGATTTAGAAATTGAACGGACCAGTAAGCGACTGAAGAAACAAGCCAAGCTTCGAAAGAAGTTAGGTGAAGGAACTTCGTCGCTAGAGGTAAATATTTGGCAAGATATTGACCTATCGAGCGATTCAAGCGAAGAAAGAGAAAAAGAAGAAAATCTAAAAAGTGAAAAGAAAGAGAAGCCAAACAAGATGGTTGACGATGGAGAGGAGCGAACTCTCCGTCAATTAGTCACCCAAGATGTTGCTCATACTCCAATTTGTATCAGTATTCGACAGATAATCAAAATTTTGTTCTTAAGACTGGCTTGGTTCATCTTTTACCCATCTATCACGGGTTAGAGAACGAGGACCCTAATAAGCATTTGAAGCAATTTCAAATAGTTTGTCTTAGCATGAAACCGACTGAGGTTACAGAGGACCTTATTAAGTTAAAAGTTTTTCCTTTTTATTTAAAGGACCGTGCTACAGATTAGTTATACTCGTTACTCCCCGATTGGGTAATGACGTGGAACCAAATGGCGAGGCTATTTTTAGACAAATTTTTTCCCTCCTCTAACCGTGAATGAGGTTAGAGCTCTAATCACTACTATGGCGGAAATTTCCAACATTTCAGTGTGAGGAGTGACATGAGGAGAGAGCCAAAAAAGGCCAACGAGGTAAATGTTGCGAGAATCGAGAGTCGTTTGTATGATCTTACTAACCTGGTAAAACAACTTGTAGTAGGTAAAGAGCAAGTGAAAGCTTGTGGAATATGTTTGGCGGCATGCCATACAATCGATGCATGCCCACAACTTCAAGAAGATGTGTTGGTGACGGCCGAAAATGTGAATGTTATAGGAGGCTTTCAAGGTCAGCCACAACAACAACGGTATCTCAACAACAATTTTGGAAACCGAAGACCTCAATTTCAGAATTCCATGCAAAGGCCGCCACAACAACAATTTCAGAAAAGAGCA